TGTAAATGTTGTGGCTTGGCTCTTCAACACACCGGTGTGCTGTACTTGTGATTAATTATGTTCTGTTTACGTGACAACCCTCGCGAGTTGGCTGTGTCGGGTGGTGGCGGGTAAACGACACGTTTATATATTTACGCGATCTAACCCAAAACAACCTGTATTATGGAAATTGGTCGCGAAAGCCTACGTGTTAAGCATGTATTTAATATTGACAGCTATATATGTATGGATTAATGACTATGTTCATTTAATGTCAGGAAAATTATATTTTTGATAAATCACAACAATTTTGTGTGGCTCTTCCTATTGTACGATGTATTGTGGGTATCGACATATTGCGGTAACCCAACTACAAAGTAATGCGTAAACATAGATGTGAAATGTAATTCATCTAACTGTGCAATTACACGCAAAACGAATTCCAAAATGGTTTACATCGCATTAAAACCAGCTGGGATCAAACTTCCAAACGCCCTCCGTGGCCTGTGAAGTTATAATTCAGAAATCTGTGGTGAGTGCCCCCGGAATTATGCAAGTGACCTGCATTGCCCCCGGAGAGGATGCAGTGGCCTGCATTGCTCCTGCTTCCGCAGATTTCCCCCCCCGTTTCAGATATATACCGCAAATATTAATTTCAGATTGAATCACACGTATACAGTACTTTAATGTATTGACATGTCGAGAACATTCTCGTCGGAGCGTACAATAATTGTAAGAGGTCACGCCGGTTTGGGGAGGCCTTCATTCATCAGTAGATTGAGCATGGTCTTTGACAGCAAAATAATGCGATCCTTCCCAAAAATGCTGCCGGGGTACATTGCATACCTATATCATTCAATCCACATGAGCACCAAATATAAAGTACTGCAAACAAATAAATGCAGACATTAATTATATATTTTAAAGTGTTCGCTACGTAAGTATACATACGTCTCCCTCACGTTACAGTCGTGCTATACTAACGATTGTGTCCAGTATGTACACCGTATACCCAGTTATACTGTATGCATAGCACTGTCACGTATACTGTATGTGTAGTCCTGTAGTGTACTGCACTACTGGACCGTTACAAAGAGCACAGCTGACGCAACACTATGTATAGCGGTACTGTGCCTACACAGTACACATTACGGCAGTACCGCTATTGCAGTCTACATGTTTTTACTGTACAGTACACATTGCAACTGTACTGTAAACGTACAGTGTACACTTGCGCAAGTTGCCCGACATTTATAAATAAAGCGACGGGCCGCAGCGTGCCCGCCTAGCGCAACTTCGGGCGCGTTTAGGCCGCGAGGGCCCGCGCTCGGGGCAAGCGGTCACGCTAGCAGTGGAGCAGCGGCACGATGGCGGGCGAGGAGGAAGAGACGGTGGAAAGAAGACGAGCTGCGCAGTAGCCTAGGCCGAGGCGGTGCCTTGCTTCCCGCCTCACACACTCCTCTGCCCCGCGCTCACACGCGCGGGCTGCGAGGTGGGGTGCAAGGGGAGCGCGATGCGAGAGAGAAGGGGAGAGAGATGCGCGGGGAGGAGAAGCGGAAGCCGCTCAGTCCCTCACCTCAACTTAGTTTCGCGGGCGGACGCAGCCGCCACCGCCGCCATCTTCGGCCTATTCAGCTGTCGGGGCCTCGGGAGAGCAGGGGATTGGGGGCAGGGCTAGGCAGGGCGGAGCCTGCGGAGAGGGCGGAGGGGCCTGTGCGAGGGGCGTGGCCTGTGAGGAGGGGGGGCGGGGTCCGGATTGGCTGCACGAGGATCCTCACTCAACTCAAGTCAGTTCGAGCGTCATTATCCGCAGGTCTACACTGTTTACAGCAGTGGCTCTTAACCTTAAATGCCATTTCTGGGGGTTGAAGACATGGGCAGATTTTTTTTCGAAGGTAAATAATCGAAACAAAAATTAAGCACGAACACGTAAGTACAACTACTTAAATCTTGACTTAAAGCTTTCGTGACTGCAGGAATAAAAATATCACGACGTTTCGATCGCAACACACTGGTGGACGGGGGTCGCTGGGCGATCACGTGGTCTAAAAGAGCTCTCGGGAGCCTTCGAGAAAGAGCTCGAGAGATCTGGAAGGTGGGCGGGGCGAAGGGCGGAGCCAGCCCCAGCCCAGGGGCATATAACGGGGCCCCGTGAGGAGCTCGAGGTTCTTCGTGTGCTGGTGTGAAGAAGATCCACGTCGGGGAGAAGAAGCCTCTAGCCACGCGGTCTGGGACCCAGCTCGTGGTCCGGGCCGGGATAGCGAACCGTGTCTAGTTCTGCCGTAGCATGGTGAGATGGGCATTCGAGACCCGAGTATAGATTGTGTGATGTTATGTTAAAATTGTGTAATAAATAATGTTGCTCCCAAGACAACGTCTGCGACTTAGTTGGACTCACTACAAATGTAAGAGAACCACCGCAACGGTGGATGTGCTAGTGAGACATTCAGCCCATTGATTGTGTGGAGCCCAAGGGTATGCGGGCGGGGCTAGAGATGGTATTTGCATGTAAATGTAAGATCAGAGGGCGCCCTGAGGCTGTGGAGGTAGCCATTGTATTATGAGAGATTAGCATGTCAATGTAAGAGAGCCACCGCAACGGTGGATGTGCTAGTGAGACATTCAGCCTGTTGAAAAAATGAGAGGCACCGCCACATCGATGGAAAGGAGCATCGGTGGCTGTGCTAGTGAGACATCCAGCCTGTCAATGCAAAGACATCCAACCTGGCAATGCAACTCAGAGAGTCGGAAATAACAGCTAACATAGGCAGGTAGGATGGAAACATCATAGCCAGTTATGACTTAAACTGGTTAATAACGTCCTTCCAATGATTGCTCAGTTTATACCCATCTTCTCGGTCGACATTGTGTCTGTGTTTAAATATCTGGATGGTTTCATGAACGAATCTTTGTTGATAGCCAGTAGGTTTGCAGAGTACCTTCGTCTTGGAAAAATAAATTTCGTGTGTGCCCACAGTGTTAAAACAATGATCAGCCACGGCTGAGGTATTGGTCCTGCTGTGTTTCAGATCTGCCTTATGTTCACGAACACGGTCCGAGACATGTCGCTTAGTTTCCCCAATGTAACTACTGCCGCAGCCACAGCTTAGTTTGTAGACACAGGGATATTGCATGTCAGGGATCACATCCTTCACAGATGGGATCAGATCACGAATTTTATGTACTGTGTTAAATCAAACCTGGATCTTGTGTTTGCTCATGATTTTGGAAATCGTTTTGGTAACCCCTGCTATGTATGGCAAGGTGATGGTTTTGATTGGGTCCTCAGATGGTTCTTTCCCAACGGTTGGGGTGATAGCTTTACGGATTGTGTAGTCCGAATATCCATTCATCTTGAGGGCTTGGTGTACGTGCTCCAGTTCACTGGCTAGGTAGTGATGGTCGGAAATACAACAAGCCCTATGGTGTAGAGTTTTGATGAGTGAATTCTTCTGGGCTGGATGGTGGTGGGAGTCAGATTTTAGGTAAGCATCCGTATGGGTGGCTTTCCTGTAGACAGAGTGTCCCAATGAGCCATCAGGTCTCTTTTTGATTAAAACATCCAAGAATGGTAACTTGCCATCCTTTTCCACCTCCATGGTGAATTTGATGGCTGGGTGTATGGAATTGATTTGGTTGAGGAATTAGCCCCGTGCTGGTAGGCCATGTGGCCAGATGACGAACGTGTCTTCTACGTATCTCTTCCACAAGGAAGGACGTAGGATGGATGCCTGGATGGCATCTGTCTCAAATTTCTCCCTGAAAATATTGGATACAACTGGAGACAAGGGAGAACCCATTGGGGTACCTTCAAATTGTTTGTAGAATGTTCCGTTCCAGGTGAAGTAAGTGTTGACGAGGCAGTGTCTAACCAGGGCCGGTACATCAGCTTTCAGGCCTCGTTGGACCAAATCTTCAATGATTGCAATGGTGTCAGGCACAGGAATTTTGGTAAACAAAGATACCACATCGAAACTGGCAAGCAAGTCACCTGAAGATAGTGAGATGTCCTTAATTAGAGATACCAAGTGATCTGAGTTAAGTGCCGCTGAGGTGGTCTTGCCAGTGAATGGATCCAAGGTCTCAGAAATCGAGCCAGTTTGTAGGTGGGTGAGTCAGTGGTGGAGACGATAGGACGGAGTGATGTGAGTGAGCTGGCAATGCCACACCTTGAGCCAGCAGGGTGAATTCCATGTTCATATGGCGGGGATAGTTCGCTGGGTGCTGGAGTGAGCTGCAATGCCACCCCTTGGGCCAGCAGGGTGAATTTCACGTTCATATGGCAGGGATAGTTTGCTGGGTGATGGAGTGAGCTGCAATGCTACACTTTGAGCCAGCAGGGTGAATTCCATGTTCATATGGCGGGGATAGTTTTCTGGGTGCTGGAGTGAGCTGCAATGCTCCACTTTGAGCCAGCAGGGTGAGTTACACGGTTCCATGGTGGGGATAGTTCATGGATGCCGGAGGCCCACAGGTGGGGGGGGGCTAGAGGGTGATCACGTGTCGTGGAAGAACTCTCGAGAGGGATGGAGAGGGAGCTAGAATGCTCGAGAAGGTGGGCGGGGCCAAGGGCGGAGCGGCCCCGACCCGCAGGGGATATGAGATGGGTCCCTGAGAGGGACCGTAGTCGCTGCATTCTACAAGCTGAAGCTCCACATCTACAAGCTGGAAGCTCTACGTCCTACGAGGCATCAACACGTGGTCGGAGACCCGAGTGAGGGTCTGACCCTTCGTAGCTGCAACTCCTACACATTGAGTCGTTAGCTGGGTGGTCACCACCCTAGGCTGTATCTGGCGAAGGGGCAGTTACCCCTTTGTGTTAGCGGGTTTATGTTACAATAAAAGTGTTGCCTCTAAAGAACAACGTCTGCGACTCAGTTGGACTCACTACACAAGGATGAAAACTTAAAATATATGAATTGCTTCGAACAATCAAACATAGAACTGTTAAGTTAAATAAATAAAGTTATAATAATAAAAAATAAAACAATTCCAAATTGCGATTTCTATTTGAAATCGATTAATCATTCAGCCCTATGCTGCAGGCACCGGAGCGAGCTGCAATGCCATCATCGCCTGGACCAGCGTCGTCTGTGCTCCCGTGCCACGTGGCTGAGAATGGCTGCACCACTTCCGTCCGAGCGCCCTCTGACCCCGACGGTGGAGACGTCACCACGGGGCGACTCGCGTGGCGACTGGAGGGGCTCGGATCGCTCTCGGCTCGCGTCTCCCTCCCCGTATCTCTCCTCGCGTCCCTCCTGAGCGTCTCCCTCCCTTACCCTGCCTATCCTTCCTCTCCTCGCTCTCTCGCGCCCTCCGCTCTCGCCGCTCTTCCGCCTCGCGTAGAGCTCCTCCCGCTGTGAGCGAGGGGCGAGCGGCGGCGATTGAGGTGAGGAGGCCTCCTGCTGCTGTCACTCGCACACGGCGGCGGCGGCGTCGTCTTCATCATCATCAACAGCCATGGTTTCTATCCACTGCTGGATCACGGCATCTATCTCTCCCCTAGGTCGCAACGCCACCCCCTCTGACGAGCTTGGCAATGCAATAATACCGACTCGGCCATAGCAGGCGGTCGCTGTGGTACAGCTGTTCTCAGTATCGCTGCTGTTTTCTGAGACGCGTGAAAATTATTGGTGCATTCGGATAATGGCTAATCGTGATCGAGTAGTAATTAGTCCTAGCCATAGTCAATCACTAATCAGCACTATACAATAGTAACCATTACTCTATTATATCAACAATAGCGTCGCTATATAAGGATACGAGAGTATTGCTATTTCCTCTACTACAGTATAATATCTTAAACTCAAAACAGTCATCATGATCACGACAATAACACCACCACAGACTGAGGGGAGGATGATTACGACAGTATATTAATAACAATACCGGTCACGATCACAATTACACAAGCACAGATCGACTGTGGCGACCATACCATCTGCAGTGCTATTATACTTATACTAATTATAATTATATTAGTATTACTGCTGCAAACATTGAGACGCGATGGTTATTACGACGGAACGATAATAACAATGCTGTTCATCATGATACAGGAGAGGCGATGTCAGTAATTACATGAAGTGTCAGCACGAGACTACTGCTGCTGCTACATCTGACGGAAACCAAAGAGGCGATCACTATCGGTCGCGCAACCTTGATAACATTGTAATAATAACTACCATTGCGTGAGGTTGACTACTACTTCTCTACCACTAATCGTAGCGACGAGATTTTACTACGAAGGTACTCATTGGAGAGGAGGCGAGATGCACGCACCACAACGAGCCTGCGGTGAAACGAGATAAGTCCATTGACGTTACTGATGGACAGAATCCCAGATTGTCAGACGCGGGCGCCGGCCCTCGACGCGCGCGCCGGCCCTCGGCTAATTGATCACGGGAAGTGATCGCCAGGCCGGTGCGATGCAAGCCGTACGCCATCACAGTCATATTGCTCATTGCAGGGCATAACCAAGACGGTAAACATCAGACACCTCGGGGAGCAGGTGGCTTATTTATACTAAGTCCTAGAGGAAGAAACGTATTGATGTAAGCACTTAAAATAATGCATTGACTATTCGAATAATGAATAGTGGATTTCAAGTGGGGGGGGGGGGCTATAAAGTCAACTAATCTGAAATCCGAAAATAATGTTACTTGTTTATTTAAGAAAATCCATACTGAGTCTTAGCACTCATTTTCAGGATGGTCCTACTTTGTCTTTTTTCATTTTAAAATGTTTTCACCAAATTCATGAGTGTTCGTACACGTGGGAGGGAACTGGAGCATCCAGAGATGAGCCACACACATAAACACCACGTCGAGTAAGCGGAGAGACGTACAATTGGTTGGAGATGCCAGACAAAATATTAAATCCAGGAAAACCTTGCCCAACGCGGTTTTATCAGTGTGTGCTTTGGCTAGACGCGGTTTGCCTCGTGAGATATGTTTTCCGGAATACGTGGGGTGATGTTTTGGCCCCTACGCGGTTTGACGCTGCTATTATTCTCATCTCCGCGTCAGTAAATAGTGCCGTGAGGGTGCTGCATCCGTCGCAAGGTGTGAATGAATTGATTGTGAGAACGATGTATTCACCATGTATGTTGTTTGCGTGTGTTTTTTTGCGTGATAATGCAACGTATACTCGACACGCTCACGCACAGCGCAAATTTTCACATATCGCCGCACGCATCCAGCCATCCAGTCGTTGAGGACGTCATACGGACGCCTAGATGAGTGATCGAGGTATCCAGACAGACGCCAAACTAATACAGGAGCTGAACTTTATTGCAACTGCAGGTTAGTGCAGTTGCAAGTTATTGCAGCCCTGCTTGAAAGGTGGGAAGGCGCGCTTAGCGGCATTGCTAGGCGACAGGGCTGTAAAACCAATGGACATATGCGATCGTTTTAACATGAACAAATACAACTTGGCCACCAATCGTTATGGACGAAAAAATAATTTACCTTCATTATGTGGATTATATTTTAAACAATAATTGGTGATTCTGCATTGGCAATGGTGCACAAAGTACAATTACCACAGATACTCAACACATTCGTCAATAACAAAGTCTGGCCTTAAAGAAAAACATGTACAGTGGGCGATGTTTCGGACTATGGCTATCCTTCTGTTGACTTTGCCCAAAATCTCGTCTAATGTACTTTTCTTTTAAGGCCAGAGTGTTACTTGCGAATGCGTTGAGTTTTTTTGTTGGCTGCATTTTGCAGCGAGAAAAGGAAAAGCTCCTGGACCAGATGATATAATTGTGGACGTAATTAATGTTCAGGAGCAGTTTGTGGAACACAATTAGCTGATATATTTTCGAAATGTTTATATTGAAATTATTTGCAGAACAACTCTTTTCTGCAGTGATTTGGGGGACTAATATCACGGACACTTATCCACAGAGCTATCTGCGATTTTACTCTTTTCCGTGGGGTAAAATATCGTGGATAATAGGATGCAATTTCCGCTCGACTCCCCTTCGCCGCAGAAAAGGCACATGAATTAGAAAGCAGCTTCACTACTCATTTTGGGTAAAATTGCGGATGTTGGGAAGAAATATGGGCACGGACCATAAGCGTTTTTGCTGACCCTACAGCTGCCACAGTTAATAGGAGTTGTGGTTAATAAGGCTGTGGATAAGAGGAGTTCTGTACTTCAATCATAAAATGATGCCTTAATGATTCTATCCAAACAGTGCAACGGACTTGAATTCGGATGGAGGTGGAGGTGTGTGTTAGTCCTACTTGCTCGGGTCTCAGAGCACCATCACACTCAGTCCAAATACACACTTTCCTTATCCCCTTTACTGTTACCCAGAATCTCTTTGATATAGCATCGCAATAAACTCACCAAAGTTTTATCACAGGGCACGGGGGCTTCTATCTCACGCCGAACTTTGCCATTCTCTCTCGTCAAGGGACATGAACCTTCACGCAAACTCCGACCATCCTCGCAGCAGCTTTTAGCTTGCCATCAGAAGCACTTCTGTGGCCGTCTAGAACGATATTACGATATTAGGAAGCCACTGTGCACTTTTAAATCTCAATAGAAAACTCATTTCTTTAGAACTGCTTGTGTTTAGTTTGTTGCCCCCCCCCACACCTCTGATTGGCACGGTTGGGCTACGTACAGTTTGAAAGAAGTTCAACAAACCCACATGGCGCATTGGGGGTCCATGAGTGCCACCTAACTCAGGGACGGCCCCGCGTGGGTTGTGGGTCATGACGTGGCCTCGCCCGCCCTGGCGACAGCCCCGAGGTTGTCACATTGCAGTAGACTGGGAACAGGCGTTTGACTCGGTGGAAATTAGTGCTGCCAAACAGGCGCTTGCAAAATCAATGGCTCACTTAACATTTACAGAAATGTTGCAGCTATTCTGAGATTGCCTGAACAAGTAGAAAAAAAAACATGTTAGAAGTAAGTTGGACTCATGGGACGTGGTTATGGGAAGTGCAATTAGAATATTATTTTCTGAACATTGGATTGGAGAAAAAAAGGCATACATTTAATAGGAAAAAATATCAATGATCTCATTTGCTGGTGAAATTGTTATGATTGCAATGCTAGTAAATTCATTCCAGAATTAGATTGAATAATTTATTAAAGAATGCTGCAAGGTTGGCCTCAAGATAAATAATTGCAATGCTGAAGTTACGTATAACAAAATCGATAGACATTTCCTGATATCTTTTCAGATGCTTCTGGAAAAACACCAGAGTACTATGTATGTTGAACTTCTTTTGCACCATATGTAGCCAACCATGCTAATTGGTGTATGCGTTTCGAGGGCAAATGCTGAAGGCAAATTGGTATCAAAGTGATTGAATGAAGACATCGATAAGAGCAGGCGTGAAGGGCTTTTGGAAAATTGAACTGAATAATGAAAGTGGCACGCTAAAGATGCACAGGATGCTGAATGGGCTGACTGCAGTATAATATTAGACTGGTGATGTTAAAGCCATTAAGTAATGACATTCATTCAGTGGCTAAACATGAGCCTCATTGAGAACTAAACACTTATTTTATAGTTTTAATTAACAATCATAGTGAACCAATAAAAATGAATTGACTACTATAATGAGCCAATAATATCTGTGTCCCGCACGTGACGTCACTCCACGTCGGCCAGCCCCCCTCATTAATTCTCATGAACAGGTGACGTCCTCCACATGGACCCCCCCCCCCCCCCGTCATTAATAATCATGAGCGGGTGACATCACTCCACATCGAACAGCCCCCCCACATTAATAATCATGAAGAGGTGATGTCTTCTAAATGGACACCCCCCCCCCCCCATTCATATTAATTAGCGGCTGATGTCACTCCACATGGGGGTGCGAGGCGCCTCCTCCCCCCTCCTCAGCGTCAACTTACAACCCTCACTACAAAGGCAGAATCCTAACGTCACGCGATCTCCGTAACGCTATTGAGACATAGAAAGCGCTTGTGTTGTGGCCGAAAACGTCGTGATTTTTGTTATTTAATTTTTTTACCTACGTGACTTTACCCAATAGAACCAAAGAGTATGGATCCTTGCAGTCATGAAAGCTTTAAATCTAGAAGGGATTATAACCTTTAAATGAAATAAGTCTGTCACCGTGGCCTTGCAAATTGCACACGAATTGATGCAATGAATATCACGTCGCGGTCTGCTTTTCGCTTGCAAGTTTCATATTTACTGAAATACACCCGTCCTTGGACGGGCAAAAGGCGCGTGATTAATGATTGTTCAGTCTTTATTGAGATCAAAATAAGCCAGCATTCTAATAAATACAAATATGTTATGCCATAATTTCCTAATCACATGCCCATTTAAGCGGTACTTAGCACCTCTTTACAGGACTGAGCCAGTGGTCAAAATGCCACATTCCTATGACGACCAATCTATCCATAGGACAAGCACCTTTGATTTATCTACAAAGTGATATTCAATTTAAACGACCCCGGAGGGATGATAGGTCGAGTCAACCCACAAGCACGATCTGAACTCGCAACTTTCTGATTTTGAGCCGTTTGCTCTGCTGCCGAGCCACTGGCTATCGTGTAGACAATGCACCATGCCTTACGGGCCATGTCGCTGACCATGCCAGAGCCTGTGCCCGTACGTGGTTGTCGCTAGTGCGACCACGCCGGCGTGACTGATACTAAACGAAATGGGCCCTGAACACCTGCATGGCCGTGCTAATTGGCACGTGGTGTCCTGTCGGCGTGTGTTGTCAGCCAGGCAGTGACGTCGCCTCGCCACGGTGAAGATGTTCTCCGCGTGGAAAAAGCTTCTGGGCTCGGAGCAGGGAGGAGGGGCGCGCGACCGAGGCACCCCTGCTGGCATCCAGTCCATGGGGCAGGCCTTGCAGCGCAAGTTCGCCAAGGGAGTGCAGTACAACAGTAAGTCAAGGCCCACTCGCCTGCGCTTTGGGAGGGCCCGGGCTCGCCGATCGAGGCTCCCGCGTGCGTGCGTGTGTGAGGGTGTAGCGTGCGGAGCGTGACCGTCTCGTGGCTGGTGATGTGGGCAGGGTGTCTGCTGGTGGCCATCCCTCTTCCCTGCTGCGATACCCCACAGAACCTCATTTGCTTCCCACACTTGGAAGCATAGGAGCCAGTGTGTGCTGCCACTCTGTTAACCGGTGGTGGAAATGTGAATTAAGAAGAGCAGCTCATGACACTTGTTTGTGCTGCAGTAACCCACATTCAGTGCCGTGTCCCCTCTGCAGAAACGTCCTAGTATAGGAATAGCAACTGCCCCGGTATACGTGTGTGGTGTTGAGAAGTGCTGGCATGGTGTACCGTCGTGTACTGGCACATTTCCACCACTGCTACTTTTAATAATGTGTTGAGCAAAGCACCTGAACAGTTCTTGCAGATACCAATATCTGCTCATAATAAAGGTTTTATGGGTTAGATTGCGTAAATATAAATGTGTCATTTACCCACCACCACCACCACCTAACAACCATTTAGAAAGGTTTTGGAATGTAAACAAAACGTGCCAATTAGTTATTAATCTTGATTTGAAGCTTTCGTGATTGCAGGAATCCATACTCTTTGGTTCTTTCTGTAAAGTCACGTAGGTATAAAATAAAATAAATCACGACGTTTCGGGCGCAACACAAGCGTCCGTCATCAGGTAGGAAAGCATGGTCTGCTGCTGAGGCAGACTGTTTTAAAAGTTTTGAAATGGGTGTAGCCCCAGGGTCATAAAGAAGTTGCCGGGGCTATTGATGTTAATGTGAGAATATTAGCATGTAACTGTAAGATAGGAAAGTGGCCTCCTAGACAAGGGCACGGAAGTGGCTATGTTAATGTGAATGCAAAATGGAAGAGTGGTGCAAATCAAAGGCATCAGTGCAACCCAAAGGGTGCAATCCAAAGGACTTGTGAGCATGAGAGTGCAATCCGAAGGCATGAGAGTGCAATTTCTCAGTTTGTACCCATCCTCTCAGTTGAAGTTGTGTCTCTGTTTATATATCTGGATGGCTTCATGCAAACCTACCGGCTACCTTCAAAGATGTGTTCATGAAGTCATCCAGATATATAAACACAGACACAACTTCAACCGAGAGGATGGGTACAAAACTGAACAATCATTGGAAGGACGTTATTAACCAGGTAAAGTCTTAACTGACTGTGATGTTTCCATCCAACCTGCCTATGTCAGCTGTTATTTCTGACTCTCTGTCTCTCTCTATATGCCTCTCTTTTAGATCTCTCATTCTCACATGCCCTTTGGATTGCACCCTTTGGGTTGCACGGGTTGCACTCATGCCTTTGGATTGCACCACTCTTCGATTTTACATTCACATGAACATAGCCACTTCCGTGTCCTCGTCTAGGAGGCCGCTTTGGATTGCACCACTTTTCGATTTCACATTAACATGCTGATCTCTCACATTAACATAGCCACTTCCGTGCCCTCATCGAGGAGACCGCTCTCCTATCTTTACAGTTAGTTACTAGTTCAGCACACAGGTGTGTTGGAGAGGAAAACGACTTAGAGAGGGGACTTTGGGGAAAAAAATGCATCTGATAATTTGGAAAATATGGTAATAATGGGGGAAGTGCCAATGTAGAAGCAATAAAGTTGTTAACTATACCTGGTGTGGATGAAGTTATTAAAATATAATATCACATGCTCAGTGGATTGTAATACCGACTCACAACTTTTTCTTTGAGACAACTTTTTTCCTTGTATTTTAATATGGAGAATGTGGTAGTTGGCATCTTACTTTTTTTTATAGATTTGTGCTAAAGTTTTCCCCACTGTAAAATGTTTAATCGCTCTCTCATATTTTAAGAGCATTTTTTGTCTTTTCTAAAACTAACATTTCTCCAACATTACTTACAATGGTTGCTCACCACGTAAATAATTGGCCTATTCATTTTATCAAGAGAGGCAGTTGGTCATATACGAAACTAAACTTTTTATTTTACCATGTATAGCCCACTGAGCAATATCGCTGACAACAAATAATAGATCAATGAAGTGGCTTATCATGCGGACATATGCAGCAGCCAAATACTCTAAATGCAGGTTTCTAAATGTGGAGGGGAAAAATTGGACGACCCGGAGAAAAATCCACGTTGGAACAAGCTGCGTTTGGGCTGCTCGTTGAAATTTCACATTTCTCGGTTGGCCAGTCTCTCTGTAGGACACCCACAGATGTCCAGTAGAGCTGTATAGCTCATTGGATTCCTCCAGTTTAAATACATATTCTGATTCTGAGTTTCCACAAAGTTGCACTTGTGTTATCCATACTGGTGGGATAACGGGGCTGAGACTGTGAACCCGCTACCTTCCCGTTGTTGGTCAAGCACTGCCACAGCATCACTGTTGTATAAATCCAGAACATAAATACGATTGAATAATAAGTTCATTTGATATTGCGGCATTCACGAACACTGCATCACAAAATGCCGATCATTGCAGACCACGATTTAACATCAAAAGGAGGAAGGAGAGAACCTATGAAGGCAAATACCGGTACACGAGGGGGTGGGTGGCCAACACCATGCCCGGCCAACTTTGTCACCCTAGTCATCGCGATGTTTACACACCGCACCAGGCACTAATTTGAGGCTAAGTCGACCTAAGGGAGGCCCAGGATCAGTTGAGATAATTGTCACTGGTGTTGACCGTCGCCAGGTTCGTGACGCAGCGCGCTGACTACTACACTACCGTTCCCCACAGACACACGCATTCACAGACACAGAAAAAGAGACACACACAAACATGGAGAGACGCAACAACAGAGACATACAAAGGTGTATGTGTTAAAGCACACAAGTCTCTCAACTCATGTACTCTACATGTTTGTGACTAGCGACATGTCCTGTCCCAGCCCACTTCCATCTCTGTGTCTCTGTCATTGTCTTTTTCTCTCCATTTTAGCATCTCCACATCTCTTTGTCTTTACCTGTCTCTTTGTCTCCATGTCTGTGTGTCTGTTCGTATGTTCCTGTCTTTTTGCATGGCTGTCTCTGTGTGTACGCATGTCTCTGCGTTTCTGCGAGTGTATTGGACTTGGTTAACTTTGAAACAGGTGGAAGGAAGCAATGGTGATGTGTGGTGGCATCTGTGGCATTGGCCATGCTATATATGTACGTAGCCAACCGTGCTAACCGGAGGTGTTATTTGTGCACCACTTTCAATACAGCACCACCAGAAAAATGCGATTAACTACTGCCGACTAGAGACGGGTCTGTCGGGTCTATATAACATATCGTGACCTCTTGACCTCGGCTTTGCAGGTTGCCGTGATAAGCAGCTTGCCCAGTGTCCGACACTGTTGCTGTCTGTCTTTGCACAGTGAAAATCATAATCCGTGGCGACCGGAACACGGGCAAGACAACGCTGTGGCACCGTCTACAGGGCAAGCGCTTCCAGGAGGAGTACATTCCCACGCAGGAGATCCAGGCTGCCAGCATCCAGTGGAACTACAAAGGTTTCTCTCGTAGTCAGACGCGGCTCCCAACACACACACACACATCCTGTTAGGTCTACGTACGCTTAATAAAAATAGCTATTACCTACAAATTAGTTCTGCTGTCAAAGCTTTTTTCATTTGAATGGATGGCATTGTGATTATATGGCCATCGTAATTTTGTGACAGCGTGTGCAGCATAAGTGTTAAAGATCACGCAGCTTTATGGATTATAAATATCAGTGGCGGGCTTTTGCCGAGTGAACTTCGGTTGAAAAAGTTCAAGCCATCATTAGCGTGACATACACATGTGCGGAACGCAATTCTGTGTCAATAATCGTCGTCGTGTCAAGATGAATGTTGTAGAGTATCGCGACGACGACATTGTGGCAAACCCTGTGCTCTCAGAGTAAGGACGGCAGGAGGCATGGCCCTTGTGTGTTCTGCTGAGTCATGCTGCTGATGAGAAATAACAAAAACTCAGCTCTTTCATCAATACAAGTAGACCCTTTGACACTTTGTTATGCACTGCAAAGAACGTTTATTGTTCTCTCATTAGAGCCACAGTGTTCTAGATGAGTCCATTTAGTTTTTGTTATTTGTACTTGTGCACCGCTTTCAATACAGTACCACCAGAAACATGTGATTAACCAACGCTAAGAAGTGACCGGTCTTTTTTGAATTAATCCAACCTATAACATTCTCACCGAGACAGTTAAAGGAAATACATTTAATGCTGGTTAATTTTTTTTTTAAATCACTTCCAACTGTAAGTTTCAGCATAAGCTTGGGTGGAGATATTAAAGTGTCAGCGCCAATGTAAGGGATGATAATCCATACAGGCAACATCATCCTTGCCTGTAAACATCCGGCAGTTCCCGAGGACTGTTTCAAGCAAGTCCGCTGATGAAACACTGAATGTCGAAATTGGTAGAGAGTATCGAGATGAATTTGTCATCATGTCTTTAGCGTAAACGGGGGGTAGCACTTGTGTCTCACAGCCAGAGGGACCTGGCTTCGATGTCCGACTCGGCCACCTTCCAGTGTGTACGAGTTTGCACATTCTCTCCGTGTCCTGTGTGGGTTTTTTCTGGGTTCTCCAGTTCGGCAATAAAAAAAACCTCAAAAGACAATAAACTAGAATGCACCCAGTATCGGCTAAACACCCCAATGCTGAAAAATTGCCTGCAAATTACAGGTATCCCTCTGTTTACAAAAGGGATGCGTTCTTCAAAAAATCACGCGTAGAACTACATTTAGTTAATCTTTTCCTATTAATTTAGTGTAGTGGTTGATTTCACTCAGACAACTTTTGTCTTTCTTCCAACACCACTTTATTTACAGTTCTCCACATGTCCTCAATGCTCCACAGTTCCCTTGTTGCCACAGCTCGCTCGCCGTGCTTCACTCGACTCGCTCGCCGCCTTTGTCTCTCCAATCTCCACTTCTCCGTCAGCTCCGATGTCTCTGTGCTTCCCCCACTGCTAACTGCTCCGCCTCTGCTCTTCGCTCTCCGCTATCACCATGCTCTCTCCACTGCTAACTGCTTCGTCTCTGCTCTCCGCTATCACTGTGCTCTCTCCACTGCTAACTGCTTGGCCTCTGTTCTTCGCTCTCCGCTATCACCATGCTCTCTCCACTGCTAACTGCTTCGTCTCTGTTCTTCGCTCTCCGCTATCACTGTGCTCTCTCCACTGCTAACTGCTTCGTCTATGCTCTCCGCTCTCTGCTATCACTGTGCTCTCTCCTCTGCTAACTGCTTCGTCTCTGCTCTCCGCTCTCCGCTATCACTGTGCTCTCTCCACTGCTAACTGCTTCGTCTCTGCTCTCCGCTCTCCGCTATGACCATGCTCTCTCCACTGCTAACTGCTTCGTCTCTCCAGCTGCTCCACGTCTTGCCTCGTCCAGCCCCCAACTCCAACTCCCCGTTTCTCCTCACGTCCCCCAATTTATCCCCGCTATCATTACACCCCAATTAATTAACCCGCGTCCCAACGACGATCCTCGTGCCCGTGCACCTGTTACCTCACCAGACTTCAAGACGCCACCTCAGCCCTGACAACAACACCAGCCAATCACAGCTGTCCTTGGCTCCCCCAGCTTAATTGACCCAATCGTTACCTCATCGTCCCAATATGACCCCCTACTGTCCTGCTCCCGCGCAAACTCACCAATTACCCCCATGCGCCTATTTATTCCACTACATCACCCCCCCCCCCCCCCCCATGATGAAAAAATCTAGCCGTCCCGGCTACGACCATACTTCGACTTCCGGGTAGTCGAGCACAACAAGGACATAATAACAACAACCACGCATCACAGAAACATATATGTACAACAGCCGTACGAGCCATAAAAGTCAATAGAAAGTTCTTCATCGGGAGCAATTTCCAGCAGCCAGTCTTCAACGAGTTCGCGTGGCCAAGCCCCCAGGGGAGGCGAGCACGTGCTCCCTGGAGGCCCTGGGGGAATCTGAAAAAGGCCCAAAAAGGGCGCAGCCCTTCCCCCGGAGTTGGGCAACAGGATGCGCAGGAGCGACGCACGGGTGCTCCACTCCCCCCTTCAAGCCCACATCCAGTCAGCACAACCGGCGACTCCAAGGGCGGCAGGCGCAGGAATCCTGTGATGAGAGAAACCAACCCTCCTGAGGCATCACTCGACGAACACTCGCCTCGACTCGTCGGACACAACAGTCACCCGTCCCAGGGAAGTGGAGATGATCAATTCCGCCCGGCGGAAGGAACCAAAATACACATTCTACAATCAACCCAAAATCACACAAATACCCATGCACACACAAAATGGCGGCTGCATGCTTGGACGGCAATGCCGCAATCCCCACGCACCCAGATATCTCCGCGGTTCTCCCCGCACTCCCAACCCAGTATACTCCTCTGGGAATCATAACAGACAATGCATTTCGCACCCTCCGACGCCTCTGCGCATCGCCGCCGTTCGTCGCACGAATCGGCTGTAGCGGGGGAATTTTAAACCAGTGTTTCTCCAAGACCCGCGTTGCCGCAATCAGCTGCCCCAACCGAGTTGAGAAGACACATTGTTCACCCACTGCACAACATGCACCTTGACAACTTAGGGATATATCTCCAGCCCACTGTTTCAACGCACCTCGGAGTGTCTCGAACTCCGGGCCGCCAGGGCGAGCCTACAGCTCCATCGTATAGCTTCAGACGCACCACGGAGGGCCTCAACCTCCGGGCCGACAGGTCAAACCATCATCCATAGCATGACGGGACCACACTCCCATGTTAGACACTCAACACTTACTGGGCCATCCTGGTCAGGATCTGCGCCCCAAGAGATTTGACAGCCAGCACAATACCAAATCAATGGCAGCATGTCGCCATCTCCAATGTCGAACAGGCACGCACAATTTACGATGATCCCAAATACCCAACGGTCACCACAATACACTTCACATCCCGCATCAGTACCCATTATGTCTGATACTCGCATTGCAGCACACAGCTGTACCAACCGAGTTGAGAGCAAAACAACTATACACAATCCCACGATTTGCGGAATGAGGTAATACAGTACACGCAGCATATACAGTCCGATACAGTCTATACCTTGGCAACAATAACGATCAAAGTTTCTCACAGTCACACATAACCAATCACAAGCGAAGCTCCATGTAGTATATACAATAACAATCGCGAATCATTAACACGGCAACCCACAGGATGTTTAAAGTGCCTCGGGACACTCGACACACGCGAATTAATCATTAACAGCCCCATCAGATAACACTCCCGATGCCGTAACCACACACGAGCACAGACATTGCGTTCATCCTACATTCACACAGCCAGAAACCCCGTTCAGCAGCCCAGCGAGCAACAAAAACCCACACGCAAAAACAACAACCCGGCGCGCGCAAGATGGGTGAGGTGTGTGTTTAGGGCCGGGTGCGTTGTGTCACGACTCGCCTGAGAGGCTGTGAGGAACTCGAAGCTTGGATGGTGAGCACGGCATCCTTTTGCGACAGGATGCCACCAAGACGGCTGAACATCTCCCTCCACAGGCGTTGAGAATGGCGGGAATGGCGTTTCGGCGGGAACCGCGTCCTGGCCGGCCGCCACGATGGCGGTCGCGCGCGCACGATGCGCACAATTTTCCCGCCCCGGCACCCACATTAGCGGCGGCGGCATTCTCTCTCCTCCGGCGCTCTCCCTCTCGATGGCGGCGAGGCAGCCGCGTGATGTGTGTCCTGCTGCCCCGCCTGCAGCGCCGCGGGAGGTGCGGCTCCGCCGTCGGCGTTTCCCGGCGGCACGGGAACGGCAGCGGGCTGGCTTAGCCCCGTCGGCAACTGCTTCGTCTCTGCTCTCCGCTCTTCGCTATCACTGTGCTCTCTCCACTGCTAACTGCTTTGTCTCTGCTTTCCGCTCTCCGCTATCACCATGCTCTCTCCACTGCTAACTGCTTCGTCTCTCCAGCTGCTCCACGTCTTGCCTCGTCCAGCCCCCGACTCGAACTCCCGTTTCTCCTCACGTCCCCCAATTTATCCCCGCTATCATTACACCCCAATTAATTAACCCGCGTCCCAACGACGCTCCTCGTGCCCGTGCACCTGTTACCTCGCCAGACTTCAAGACGCCACCTCAGCCCTGACAACAACACCAGCCAATCACAGCCGTCCTTGGCTCCCCCAGCTTAATTGGCCCAATCGTTACCTCATCGTCCCAATATGACCCCCTACTGTCCTGCTCCCGTGCAAACTCACCAATTACCCCCATGCGCCTATTTATTCCACTAAATCAGTACCAAAAATGAGGGATGTGTATTGGAGAGTCATTCCAATTCTACCCTTAACCTAAAAATATGTACCTATATCTCGTTTCACAATACAATAATAAAATAACATAAATATTAAAACTATTGAATAGTAATTAACAAAAGTTATTTACTCTTTCAGGGAAAATCTTGATTTGAAGCTGTCGTGACTGCAGAAATCCATACTCTTTGGTTCTTTCGGTAAAGTCACGTAGGTAGAAAAAATAATAGATCACGACGTTTCGATCGCAACACAAGCAATCGTCATCAGGTGGGACAACCACAGCAAGAAAAAACTGCTGAAGTAGGCGAGAGATCTGCGGTGGCACGACGTTATATAGTAGGTCTCGGCAGTAGGGGGGAGAGAGAAGTGGGGGCGGGGAGGCAGGGCAGAAAGTGGACCCCACAGCAGTACCCGGGTCACTGGAGTAGAGATCGCAGAGAGATGCACAGAGAGAGCGAAAGACACACAGAGAGTCGGAAATAACAGCTGACATAGACAGGATGGAAACATCCCAGTCAGTTAAGACTTGACCAGGTTAATAACGTCCTTCCATTGATTGCTCAGTTAGTATCCATCTTCTCGGTTGAAGTTGTGTCTGTGTTTATATATCTGGATGGTTTCATGAACAAATCTCTGATAATAGCCGGTGGGTTTGCAGACTGCAGGAATTCATATTCTATGGTTCTTTTGGTAAAGTCACTTTACCAAAAGAACCATAGAATATCATCTAGTTTGACAACTAATTTCTTTGGAACAGTTTTTTTTTATATTTGGTTTGCTGTCTTTCCCCCTCACCTTCGATTAGGATGGTTGGCTACCTACTGTGCGAAATATGTTCAACACGCATACATTAAATTTTGATTTAAAGCTTTCGTGACTGCAGTGATTCATGTTCTTGGTGCTTTCGGTAAAGTCACGTTGAAGGGAAACAATAAATAATAAAATATATATAAAACAATAAAATTCTCACGACGTTTCGACTGTAACACAAGCAGTCATCATCAGGTGTGAAAACCAACGGCAAGAACATTTGAAAGAAGTGGCGGTTTGTATTTATTTATTTTTAAACGTTAGCACCACGGATAGCGATTTGACAGTTTGTATTCGTGAACACAAAGCAGACCTTAAACACGGTAGGACCAACACCTCGGCCGTGGCAGATCACTGTTATAATTCAGTAGGCTCACATGACATTGACTTCTCCAAGACAGAGGTTCTTTGCAAGCCATCTGGCTACCATGAGAGATTCGTTCATGAGGCTATCCACATAAACAAACACAGAGACAATTTCAACCGAGAAGATGGATTCTGGCTTAGCAGTCATTGGAAGGATTTGATAAACCATTTGGGGTCTTAATTGATTGTTCACGCTTACGGTGGCTTTCAGACAGCATACATTAATTTTTCGTCTCCCCTCTCCTCTTTTCCGAACATAGATGGACTCGTCCATCTAAACAAACTATCAAATTGCTATCCGTGGTGCTAACGTTTAAAAATAAATAAATACAAACCGCCACTTCTTTCAAATGTTCTTGCCGTTGGTTTTCACACCTAATGATGACTGCTTGTGTTGCGGTCGAAACGTCGTGAGAATTGAATTGTTTTATATATATTTTATTATTTTATTGTTTCCCTTCAACGTGACTTTACCGAAAGAACCAAGAATATGCATACACTATATCAGGGGTGGGTACCTTTTTTCGGCCAAGGGCCATTTGGATATTTATATAACATCATTTGCGGGCCATACAAAATTATCAACTTAAAAATGAGCCTGTTATAGTTGGTCAAACATTTAATTAACTCACCCCTAATGTGATGTCTGGAACTGCTTCTCTTTGGTGAGGCGTGCGATGATGTTAGCCGGTATTGATGATGTTGCTACTCGCAACTGTTTTTCCAGGTTTGCTCCTAGATTTATTGAATTTCGAGTCCCGCCTGCGGTTGCCTTGACAGGGCCAGACCAAATTATTTCGCGGGCCTTACGTTCCCCACCCCTGCACTACATCAATGAGATTATTTCATTTTTTTTCAGTCTGCATGGTGGATGTAAACATTTGTATATATGAGCTTCTTCATTACGAATGAAATGCTATGGAACATTATGCACCCATGTCCCCATCATTATGTTTAACGCTTCTACTTGCTTCCTTTTGCACAGCTACGGACGATGTTGTCAAGGTGGAGGTTTGGGATGTCGTTGATAAAGGCAAGTGGCAGACAAAGCAATATGTACTTACCTCTTACCACGTATTTACAACAATACATGAGCATACGATACACCTTGCCTGATTTGTGTCTCCACAATCAAATGTAAAATATTTTTTTATAATAATTGCCATTTATAAGGCGTAATTCATCCAAGGACCTCAGTGCGCCATGCACGAAGTTGGGAAATATAAATAGTGCAGAGTCCACTGATCATACATGGGAAGTGTAGGCCAAGGCGAAACAGGTGAGTCTTTAGAGAAGACCGAAACAAAGTGTGTGACCTCGCCTGTCAGACCTCAGGTGGCAGGGCGTTCTGTAGTCTTGGCGCAGTGCATGCAAAGGCTCGGTCACCCCAGGTACAGAGTCTGCACATGGAGCAGATGTAAATTAGCGGATCGTAGAGGTCGTGACGGCACGTACATCCCATTAGCCACACAGCCTTCTGAGAGTGAACGTTTTTTTTGAGCAGCATTGGTTTAACTCAAACAAACTCGTAAAAATAATGATGCCTTGCAATAGGTATCTCTTTCGCATTTGAACATCTTAATACCTTTTATATTGCCAGAAAGGGTAAAGCCTATTCTTATGTTTTCATCATTTCGATTCTGGCAAAAAGGTCCCATAGATAAAACTGTGGTAAGTCTGATCGTAAAGAGAAGGCTATTGGAGGCAGGAGTGCCATCTGTATTACTGTGTAGATCACAGAGCTGGACGCTGACTCGGCAGCTCGAGCCAATAAGTTGTTGGCATTTGAGGCCAGCTGTGTCGAGGTGAATGCTATGAATTCCGTGGCACGACAGGATACGCAATGCAGAAGCCTAGAAGATAGCGTGTCATGTGAGTGTTTTAGATATAGTTATGCACAACCAGTTGTGTTGGGTGGAATTAGTGCTTGATGGATAAGGGCCGATTGCCGAGACAGGCATTGAAGTGATCGTCACGAATCGGGCGATGGTTTCGAGATGTTATCTCCCTCGCCTTTTTGGAGTTTGTGTGTCTCCCCATGGTCTCGTGGTTTTTTCTCCAAGTCCTCCGGTTTTTTCCCTCCACATTTAGAATCAACGTCACACTCGTTTAGAATATTTGGCTGCTATATATTTCCATGCGATAAGCCACTTTGTTGAGCTATCATTTGTGGCCAGGTTACGTCTGAAAAAGAGCTACATAGCTCAGTGGGCCTTAAATGGTAAAATAAAACATAGTTTATTATTGTTATTTATTAAAATAAAAAAGAGCAGATGGTGGGACACTGGTCAGGGCACATGTTGCATGTCGTTTACGCGTTTCCTGTGCTCCAGCTGCGGGATCTGGCGAGGGTAGAGAGCGTTAGCAGTTAGGTACGGCGGCATCATGGCTTTGGCCATGATGAAAACTCGATACCCTAGACCGGTTTCGACATTCAGTGTCTGATCAGCGGGTTTGCTTGAACCAGTATTCGCGAATTGCCAGATGTTTAAAGGCAAGGACGATGCTGCCTGTATGGAATTTCATCCCTTATGTCGGTGCTGACGCTGAATCTGAAGAACCAGCATTGCGAAGGTGGAATATCTCCTGAATTTTTCATCAGGAGTCTTTAAACAGTGCTGCCTTTGGGGGACTTTGCACAGATGTAGCTGCTGCGGCACAAAGAACCAAACATAAGACCCTTTTGTTGGTTTGAACATTGCGACGTTGCTTTCTTGCCCGCGGGTTTTGAACTTGTCACTGATCTCTGCGCATGTCCATCGTTCTTTTGCCTCCCCTATTGGTTCCGTTTCTTACTCTCGCTTCCGACTGATTGCCTTTTTTTATTTTTTTCTCTTTGTCCACGTCGCCTGCCCTTCTCTTTGTCACGTCGCCTGCCCTTTCCTTGTCGACGGTGCCTGTTCTTCTATTTTTCCATGTCTCCTGCCCTTCTCTTTGCCCACGTCTCCTGCCCATCTCTTTGCCCACATCGCCTGCCCTTCTCCTAGTCCACGTCGCCTGCCCTTCTTGTCCACGTCGCCTGCCCTTCTCCTTGTCCACGTCGCCTGCCCTTCTCTTTGTCTGTCTCCTGCCCTTCTCTTTGTCTATGTTGCATGCCCTTCTCTTTGTTCACGTCGCCTGCCCTTCTCTTTGTCTGTCTCCTGCCCTTCTCTTTGTCTATGTTGCATGCCCTTCTCTTTGTTCACGTCGCCTGCCCTTATCTTTGTCTGTCTCCTGCCCTTCTCTTTGTCTGTCTCCTGCATTTCTTTTTGTCTATGTCTCCTGCCCTTCTCTTTGTCTATGTCTCCTGTCCTTCTCTTTGTCTGTGTCGCCTGCCCTTCTCTTTGTCTATGTTGCCTGCCCTTCTATTTGTTCAAGTAGCCTGCCCCTTGTTTTCTGCTGCCTGTCGCGTCTCACCACTCTACCCCTTTGTTCATCCCTCACTTTGATGCTCAGGACGACGCTTTGTCTTGGGAGGAAGTCTCGGCAAGTCCGAGCTTTTAGTGCGCCTACTTTGTTTTAACGCTGTTGCCTTTGTTGTTTTGGTCAACAAGACTCCACACCTGGTCTCTTGGTTTATCACCGAGTTCAAAAAAATAATCTTTGCAGGGTTGCAAACTTTCCCCTCCCAACCTTCGTGGGCGCTGTATACCCGCGTGTTTCGTCCTTTTTCCGCCCCTCCGATTAGCAGGGTTGGCTACATACAGTGCGAAAGAAGTTCAAAGTGCATGCGTGCATTCGTAATTTAAACCGTACTAATTCAAGTGTGAATTAGTTGCAAGCAAAAACTGGTAATATTGTAATTGAGTTGTTTATTCGCATACACGTGCGAACCCATCTGTGCTTTTACTGTAAACCTGTGCGAGATGCTGTGCTGCTTGGGGGGAGTACCGCGGTGCGTGACGCTGTGTTGGGGTGAGTACCGCGGTGCGTGACGCGGTGTTGGGGTGAGCACCGCGGTGCTTGATGCTGTGTTGGGGTGAGCACCGCGGTGCGTGATGCTGTGTTGGGGTGAGCACCGCGGTGCGTGACGCTGTGTTGTGGTGAGCACCGCAGTGCATGATGCGGTGTTGTCGTGTGAACCGCGGTGCGTGATGCTGTGTTGCGTGCTGTGCGTGGCAGGGAGGAGCAGGAAGAAAGGGGACTCCCTGAAGCTGGAAAACGAGCCCCAGGAGGTAAGGAAGGCTGCACCCCGGTACTTCCGCTCTCACCGCCGTTAACGGGGCGTGTCAATACTGAAATGTGTCTGTGGTGTTTGGTTCAATGTATGTGGTTTGTTGAACTTTTTTCGCACCGTACGTAGCCAACCGTGCTAATCGGAGGTGCGGGATAAGGACAACAAACAGGACACAACGCGTGCGTTGAGCAGCAAGCGCAGGCGTCTCATCGTAGCAGGTGGAAAGAGCAGTCACTTCGGCGGGAGGGTTTTTGTAACAATGCAGACCGCTCAAGGTCGAACACGAAACTGTCAACGTTGAAGTTACGCCAGCGATGTCTCGGGGCCTCTATTCGAAGTGGGCTGATTGTTTAACGTCTGCTGCTGTAGTTTCAACAAGAACGAATGAGCGGCCAGCATGGGTGGCTCCACAAGTAACGATAAAACCGCTCTGTCTGTACGGGTGATGAGTGGCATCAGGGAGATGACTATCCTGCAGGAGCGTCTGTGGCCATGACGACATAATATTTTGACTAGTGAGTCAGGCTCTGAGGGCTTTGGAAGCTTGATGGAATGTGAGTCGAAGTGGTTGAAGCATCGAGAGAAGTTTTATGACCTGCAGTGTGCTGGTTGAATGAGTGGGTGGGTGTGTGAGTGAGTTTGTGAGTGTGTTGTTGTGACCCACAGTGTGGTGTTTGAACAAAGCATTGATGAGATGAAATTGTTCGGTCGACTGAATTCCTCAACACGGGTGGAGGAATCAATGAAAGTCGAAGTTCACGGGAATATCAACCATGGTAGTAGCGATAGAAGAGTGACTTGGAGGTAACTAACTGCCGGCTATCGAGCTCTTGCAGAGAAGGGTCGCTGACGATGCGTGTGTGTTCCTGCAGGATGAGCTCGCGCTGGACGCCGAGTGCATTGATGTTTACAAGAACTGCCACGGCGTCATCATGATGTTTGACATCACCAAGCAGTGGTAAGCGAGCGCGTTTCGTTCCTTCCGTCGTGCCAGCACGGGCCGTCGCTCGCGCTGGTGCGCAACCCCGACAGCGCTGCTGAGGATTCAAACCCCAAAATAGCAGCCAGAGTTGGCACGACCAAATTAAAATGCCTAATACGACAAAAAAAGACAAAGATCCCCCGTATAGCCTTAACAGACTGTTGGGGCAAGTGCTGTTAGCGTGCACCTATACAGTCCGGCATGGCACACGAGGGGGTGGGTGGCCAACACCACGCCCGGACGCCTTTGTCTCCCTAGTGGTGATGCTTATACACCGGACCAGGTACTCATTTGAGGATGAGTCGACCAAGGGGAGGGCCGGGACCGGTTCAAATAATCGTCACTGATTGTTGGCCGCAAGCGGGAATCGAACCCGGATTGCCGGGTTCGTAATGCAGCGCGCTAACCGCTACTCTAAGACACACACACACACGCATCTTATTATAGAGCTGTGCTCTGTCCTGGTGAGTACACGACGGAGCTTACGGACACGAGTTGATATTTTTCTGTCAAATATGTTGCGCGTGTTTTAGCAGTGGAGCACTACTAACCTGACGATAGCGTCGCGGTGCACACCGTGTCACAGTGAACTGCCTTGGACTGCCTTGCCTGCTGGCAAGCGCACGTGTGCTTCCACATCGGCTGTAGAGGGGTTTAGGAATGAATAGCGAGAAGGTGGTAACAGTTCATCCGCCTCGGGGGACTGGATTGTCAGCATTTGGGGTGTTTGAGTGTCGGCACAACGGGTGACGAAGTGCCGTGGTGTGCGGGTGCGTGGGTGTGTCGTGGTGTGAGTGGGTGCGTGAGTGAGTGCCAAGGTCTCACTCCGAATCAGTCGAGCGGCAAATCTTTTCATCGGTTGCGTAACGCTGTGTGGAAGCTACCTGGTCTGTCGCTCCGCACGAAGCTTCAGGTCTTCTGGGCCACGGTCATTCCCTCCCTTCTCTACGCTTGTGAAACGTGGACCTCCCTAATGGAGCATCTTCGCCGGTTAGAAACATTTAGGCTGGCCTGCCTACGATCCATCCTGGGTTTAACCAGGCTGGATTGTGTGAGGAGCTCACAAATCTTTGAAAGATCTGGGCAAAGTCCCATCGGTGAGCTCCTCCGGCAGGCAAGGCTGCGTTGGCTGGGTCATGTAGTCTGCATGCAAAGCCACCGCATGCCTAAACAGCTTTTGTTCGGCCGGATAGAGGGGGCTCAACGGGTGCGGCACGGGCTAGAGAAGAGATGGAGTGATGTGGTACAGGAGGACGTGGAGCTGAGTGGACTTGCCGATGACTGGTATCAGCGGTGTCAAGATCGGCCTCTGTGGAGGAGGCTCGTGAAGGACGCTACTGGGCAGTTGGAGGCAGTCGCCCTCCAACAACAACGGAGGGCGGAGGAGCGGCGCTCACAACAACGAACGGAGCGCCGGGTGGCTAAAGCACAGCAAGTTGGCACGGTAGGGGGCACAGGTGGTGCATCAACCGGCCATCTTGGTCATCTCAGTCAGTCGACCCGTGACACCTGGGTCTGCCCCGTGACCTCCTGCCAGCGGGCGTTCGACACTTCACTTGGCCTCAAGGTGCACATGGCCTGGCACAAGCGTCGTGGTGACGTCACCGCCACTTAGTGGCGAATGGCGGTTGTTGTTGTTGTTGAATGTGTTGTGGTGTGAGCGGGTGCGTGGGTCCATAGTCGTGTGGGTGTGTTGTGGTGTGTAGGTGCGTTGGTGTGTGGGTGTGTCGTGGTGTGAATGAGTCCTTGCCGTAGTATGTGTGAGTGAGTGTTGTGTTGTGAGTGCGTGTGTTGTGGGTGTGAGTGAGTGGGCGAGTGAGTGAGTTGTGTGGTGTCTGCGATTGTGGTGGGGTCAGTTAATGCCATGGTCTGAGTGGTGAGATGGTAAGTACCTGGCCTGGTATACAGGAGGTTGTCGGTTCGATCCCGACCCTGACATCTGCTGTATATTTGGAGTTTGCGTGTCTCTCTCTCCACGGTCGTGTGTATTTTTCTCCGAGTCACCGTTTTCCCTCCACATTTAGAATTTAACGTGGCTGCTATACATTTGCACGTGATGATGAGCCACTTCGTTGAGCTATCATTTGTGATAGCCAGGTCGCTTCTGAAAAAGAGCTATACAGCTCAGTAGGCCTTACCTGGTAACAAAAATAGTTTAGTTTAACCATGCGATAAGCTGCTGTTGCACCACTGTGTGGCTCTCTTGGCCCGGTAGCCCCGCCGCTTGGAAAAGACAGAGGCGTCGTGTGCCCATCGTGTGGCCCTCGAGTGGCCCTCAAGTGGCCCGCGTGTGGCCCGCGTGTGGCTCTCATGTGGCCCTCGAGTGCCCTCATGTACCGTCCTTTTCTACTTCCTTGATGATTGCGTCCAGCTCCTGCTTGGTCGGGGTTTAGCCGAGCAGCTTCATCACCTTGAGTTTTATAGTTGAGAGTTTTGTAGTTGTTTTGTGAGCAAGTGGGCGAGTGAACGAGTCGTCATGGTGCGCGTGGCCATGCGACCTCTGTGGTGCGAGTTAATGCCGCGGAGTGAGCGAGTGGGGTTTGGCGAGCGCGTGAGTTGCGTGATGCCGTGGCCGTGGGGCGGTGCAGGACCTACAGCTACGTGGAGCGGGAACTGTGCCGCGTGCCGTTGCACGTGCCGGTGATTGTGCTGGGGAACCACCGCGACATGGGGGAGCACCGTGTCGTGCTGCCCGACGACGTGCGCAGCCTCTTCGAGGGCCTCGACCGGTGAGCGGCCACTGCTTGCTCCTCACCTTGCTCGCCTCGCTCCTCACTTAACTCACCTCGCTCACCTCATACGGCTTACCGCTCACCTCACCAACCTCACTCACTTCCACGGCTCACCGCTCACCTCGCCCACTCACATGGCTTACCGCTCACCTCGCCCACTCGCACGGCTCACCAGTCACCTCGCTCACTCACACGGCTCACCGCTCGCCTCGTTCACGCACACGGTTCACCGCGCTCACCACACTCACCTCCTCGGTCACCTTGCTCAGCTCGTCACGCACACAGCACACCGCTCACCTCGCTCATCTTGTTTACGCACATGGCTCACCGCCCACCTCGCTCACCTTGCTCACCTCGCTTATGCACGCGGCTCGCCAATTACCTCGCTCGTGCCGCCGCTCTCTCCCTCTTCCCCCCCATGTCTTCCGCAGGCCTCCGGGTGCCTCCTACGTAAACTACGGGGAATCATCCATGAAGAACGGCTTTGGGCTCAAGTTCCTGCACAAGTTCTTCAACATCCCCTTCCTGCAGCTGCAGGTTAGGGTCCCAGTTGAGGCATCCTGGCCACCGGCCTGGTTCGTTGTTCCAAGTCGGCATGCCTTTGGCCTGGTTTGCTGTTCCAATTTGGAACACTTTCTTCCTGGTTTACTGTTCCAATCCGGTAGGTCGCTGGCCTGGTTCGCTGTTCCAATCCGGTAAGTCGCTGGCCTGGTTCACTGTTCCAATCCGGTAGGTCGCTGGCCTGGTCCGTTGTTCCAATCCGGTAGGTCGCTGGCCTGGTCCGTTCCAATCCGGTAGGTCACCGGCCTAGTTCACTGTTCCAAACCGGCAGATCGCTGGCCTGGTTCGCTGATGCAATCCGGTAGGTCGCCGGCCTGGTTCACTTTTCCAATCCGGTAGGTCGCTGGCCTGGTCCGTTGTTCCAATCCGATAGGTCATCGGCCTAGTTCTCTGTTCCAATCCGGTTTGTCGCTGGCCTGGTTCGCTGTTCCAATTCGGTTGGTCGCTGGCCTGGATGACTGTTCCAATCCGTTTGGTTGCTGGCCTAATTCACTGTTCCAATCCAGTAGGTCGCTGGCCTGGTTTGCTGTTCTAATCTGGCAGGCCTTCAGCCTGGTTCGCTGTTCCAATCGTCAGCGCCTTGCTATGAAAACTTACCACGACCCTCCTGGGGAAACAAGTGTAATAAGCCTGCGGGGCAGCCAGGTGCCTTTAAGGTGCAGTACAGCAAGTAGATTACTGAAAGATTGAGTGTTGTCCACTTGCATCTATGGGACCCTTTGCCATTATATACCGGTGACTGCTCAACCCGAGCACCTCCAATTTGCACGGTTGGCTATGTACGATGGGAAAGAAGTTCAACATACGTACAACATACATACAACATACATAATAGCTTTGACATTTACATCGTCTTCATGCTGTTCACATTTTTCCATTCTCTGGTCTAATGCAGGTGGTGAGACAAGGCCATACAGGAGGCTGTCTCTGGTGTAGGCAAATCAGTTTCAAAGACAATGCATACATTATCAGACCATTTTTTTTTTATGTTTTTCCACAAGTGTGTATGGTTAATATAGACTAGTTGGCCTTGTAATAGGTGTCTATTTGGTGTTTGAATATCTTAACACCTGTATTCTTGCCAGAAAGGCTAAAGCCTGCTCTTTCATCAGGGTTTTTTTTACAGGAATTCCAGTTCACCTGCAGAATAATGCTGCAGGAAATGACAATTTGACAAACATGCCCAGGCAAGGTATTTTGCTTGAACCTCTCCCGAGTGAGTAGACAATGATACACGTGAACCCGCAGGGTCTTGCTCTGGCTGCAAGGTTGTGTCACGGGGTTGTGTCACACGATGTGTTATTGTTATTCTTATGCTTATTCACCCAGAAAAGCATCACTTTTTGTCTCAAGACTGTTTTTCAGGTGGGTCCTACCAACTTTTCCCAGCAGAGGGCGATGTTGCTGCTGCGTGTAATCCCAATTGAGTAATTTGGAGGTAAACTTTCAGCATTGGTGTGTTTCACCAATTGCATTGTATAGTTTATTTAGCTGCAGGAGTAAACCAGAGAACCTCGTGGAAATCCATACAGAACATGGGGAGAACATACCAAAGCTCAAAACTAAACTAAACTATTTTAATTTTACCAGGTAAGGCCCACTGAGCTACATTTCTTTTTTTCAGAAGCGAATTGACCACAAATGATAGCGCAATGAAGTGGCTTATCATGTGGAAATTGATAGCTTCCAAATACTCTTAAACGCACGTTTCTAAATGTTGACGGAAAAACCGGAATACCCGAAGAAAAATCCATGTGACCATGGGGAGAACTTCTCGCCACCGTGGCATACAGAAAGGTCCTCGAGTCAGGAATCGAACCCTGGTGCTTCTTGCTGCGTGTCACAAGTGTTATCCACTCTGCCACCCTGCCGCCCATGAGAACACCATGTTGTCACGGTGTTTTCATGTGTAGTGTATGTGTATTTGTGTTGTGCCACGTGTGTGTCTTTACGTATGTGTCTGTAAGCTTTATATGTTTACGTTCTGGATTGTGTGTATTAATGTTTGTACAGAGTGAGGAGTGGTAGTTTGCCTTACAGGCTCCCTCACTTTACTGAGATCTTTCTATGAGGTTTCCATTGCTGAAATGGACAATCGTCTTGCCTGCGATGTGGCGTTCCACTGCGGTTTACACGCAGCGAGTACAGACATAAATAATTAGGGTACTGTAGTTGTAGCTTCATGAAAACTGCAAAGTGCATCGCTAAAGCGTGCGGCATCTCCAAGCGATCGTCATGGCTACGGACCGCGGTAAGAAAACACTGGGGGCGACATCAGGACAATGCGAGTGATCGCAGCGATGATGCCCAAGGCACAGAGGGCAACGTTAATAATAAATGCGGCCTTGGGTTCTCCGACCGGCTACTGCTAGAGCAGTTACACGGTCCAGGTGCGTCACTGAGCTGTGGCAGACACGGCAGGCTCACGTCTCGCTGCCCCTGCTCTGGAGCCAGCGACTCTGCTCCTGCTGCCGCTGCCACGACCGCCGCCCGTAGAGAAGGCTCGGGTAGCGTCGTGAGTACACGTGGGGGTGGCTCGCACGCTAAGTGGCTCAGGGAGTGTGCACCCTGCGCGTGGCGTATGTGTGGGTGCCCTTTTGAAGTCGTCGGCGCTGTGTTTGGGGGGCACTGGTAGTGGCAGTGCAGCGGTAACAGCAAGAAGGGCCTTGGTTCGATTCCCCACTCTGGCACCTTTGCCGTGCGGGGTTTGTATGTTTATCCACCTGTTCTTCGTGGGTTTCCTCCGTGTTCTCCGTTATCTTCCCACAACTAAAAAAACAAAAAGACTATTACTGGTATTGACCAAACATCCTAATGCTGAAAAATTTCCTGCAAATTACTCTATTAGCACTACACGTAGCAACATCACCCCCAGCTGCGAAACTTGGCAAGACCATCATGAAAAGAGCCTTGAGACTCAGCGAGGCTTTTATAGATAAACAAGCTTCATAAATAATAATTGTACGTGCATGTGTGCCTGTATTCCCAGCGGGAGACGCTGCTGAGGCAGCTGGAGACAAACCAATTGGACATGGATGCCACCATGGAGGAGCTGTCTGTGCACAATCAGTCGGAGGAGCAGAACTACGAAATGTGAGCCAATTGCTGCTGCCACGCACAAAACAAACAACGATCCACTGTGTAGCCTTAACAGACTGTTGGGGCAAGTGCTGTTAGCGAGCACCTATGAAGGCCGGCACGGCACACGAGGGGGTGGGTGGGCAGCTCCAAGCCCGGCCGCCTTTTTCTCCCCAGTTGTGATGTTTATACACCACACCAGGTCCTCATTTGAGGCTGAGTCGACCAAGGGGAGGACCAGGACCGGTTCAGATAATTGTCACTGATGTTGGTCGTGAGTAGGAATCGAACTCGGGTCGCCGGGTTCGTAGTGCGACTTGCTAACTGCTACACCACCGCTCACAATTTATTGCTGGCACACACACACACATAGCTGCACAACAACAACAAACCGCCGTTTGCCACTAAGTGGCGGTGGCATTACCATGGCATTTGTGCCAGGCTATGTGCACTTTGAGGCCACGTGAAGTGTGGAAGGTCTGCTGTTAGGTCGTGAGACAGATCCAGTTGCCATGGATTGATTGACTAAGATGGCTGGGTCAGATGTGCACCACCTTGTGCTCCCCACTGCTTCGGGAAGCCATCCTTTAGCAGTGGATTGACCATGATTGATGATGAGGATGACTGACGACATTTTGTATGTTGAACTTCTTTCGCACCGTACGTCGCCGACCGTGCTAATCGTGCGGCGCTGTGCCCATCGCAGCTTCTTGGAGCTGCTGGAGGTGAAGGGCAGCGTCCGCGGAGCGCAGAGTCCCGTGCTGCCCAACGGCGGCGGCGGGGGCAGCAGCAGCGAGAGCCCCACGCCGTCGGCGCCCAGCCCCGTGCCCTCGGTCTCCTCCCGGCCCTCTTCAACCCCACCCGCAGCCCCCGCCCCGCCTGCCCAACCCTCCTCTCCTCCGGCCTCCGCCCAACCCGACGTGAGCCACCCACGAGAGCACGGGGGGGGGGGGGCGCGGGGGGGGGGGGGGTAATGGGGTGACGGGGAGGGCGACGCCTCGCATGCTGGAACCCCCTTGTCGGTGACGCGACCATTGTCAGAAGACCCGGCGCCGGTGGCTCTGGGCGGCAGAGCGAGCCACTCGCAGCCACATAATCTGTCTCCAGCAGATAAAAGGGGCAACCGCTTCGTGGGAAAGTTTGACAGTGGTTGTCCTATCGATAGAATTCTATGTGTGTTGAAATTATTTCATGCCGTACGTAGCCATCCTCACTGTAGATTTGTCCCCACCATAGGAATATCAAACACTGCAGCTCATCATTGTCCCTCGTGTTTACAAGGGAGACTTGTGCTGTTTTACGTTGTTGCTTTTGTAATTACGGTGAACCAGTTTCTGGCAAATTCGTCCTGGTCTATTGAGTTCGCGCCTGGTTAGACAAAATCAACACCAATTAAACCAAATGTGTCTCACGGTGTGCGCCCTTAACCGAAGGGACCACCATGGTCATCCAAATATAGTCTCGGTATTTACAAAAAACGTGTGTTACCTAGTAAGTCTGGGTATTTACATTTGTGGCAATTAAATACTACAATGGGATAGAAGCAATACATAAATTCTGCCCTCAGCCACCTGTGTAACTGCCTCGGAATTTCACTCGTCGTCGTTGGTGCAGTAGGGTGTGGCTTCCCACGCCGTGTTTTCCCTGCACCCAGTGCTTGAGGAAATCGTCGGAGTTGCGATGCAGCAACTGCTGCTGTCTGAGCCCTTCTAGCACAGTCGAAAAACTCGTTCTCTCAGTGCTTCGCCCCGCCCCGTTTATGTGTGGAGCGGTGAGCCTTCCTCACCGCCGCACTGCCTTTTATTTGCACGCACGCTGGCACATTGGGACACTGGTCGAGAGAGCGAGCTCGCTGGCATTTGTGCACGGTTCTGCTCCCCCCTCTTAGCCATGCGGGTCATGCCCCGTCAGGTCAAGTTTCACGACGGATCGTTCCCTCGGCATCGGCTTTACAGTTTTTTGTTCCCAGGCTGTTGCTGTTGAGACGATGGAAGGCTTCTGACTTTGCGAATTCACCCCCCCCCCCCCCACCTCACTGCGCTCCTCTAGGCTGCGGGAGCCCCCACTGCTCCTCCTGGGCCCCCCCAGGCTGAGCAGCCCATGGCCGCCCCCCCACAGAGGAGGGGCTTCATGGCGCGATTCTTTGGGTCGTCGACCCCCGATCCTGCAGCCGCAAAACCAGGTTCGTCGAGCGTGGAGTTCCCCCGGGGTGCTGGGGTTACTCCGGGGTCCACGAGCGCAGCTCATGATGCTGCCAACCAGAATTTACATCATCGTTTTATCAGCAGCAGCAGCATCGTCACAAGCAATGGCGGCGTCATCGTCAGCAGTAGCAGTGTCTCTGTTGTTTAGTTAGTTGTCCTTCACCCGCACCTCCGGTTAACATGTTTGTCTACATACGGTGTGAAAAAAGTTCAACATGCATACATTACAACATTGTCACCAGCAGCATCAGCAGCAATAACAGTATCACCGTCACCATCATAAATTTTGCACATTTGAAAATTGAGAATGAAGCTCGGCTTACACGAATCTCTGTCTCTCTTCTTATTTGACTTCAGGTGCTGTCGAATGAAATGAGGGTTGGAAAACATCCACTATTATTTGTCTGTTATTCAAAGATGTTTCCTATTTAATATTTGGTTTTGATTGTATTTTCCCAAGTATCCTTTCATTAATGTGTCCACATTCATATATTTATTTCCCGTTTGAAGTCGTATTATTCGCCTGCTGAGAGAAAGGGAGGTTTCCATTTCGCTGCCACGCGGTAAAACTGTAGCCGATCAAAAGCAAGGTTTTATTCTCCACTTGTAAGGATTGGAACCGTTAGCTTGTGATCCAGGTGTTCTGCTGTTGCGGTGGTGGCGGCGGTGGTGGGATGGTTGTGATGTGATGACACTTGTGCTTGAGGCGGCTTTGCAAAAGATACTGAGATTTTTTATTTGGAGCGACAGATATGGGGCGGAGTCGAATTTTCTGCGTACTTATGTCGTTACATATACAGTGAGGGAAAAAAGTATTTGATCCCCTGCTGATTTTGTACGTTTGCCCATTGACAAAGAAATTATCAGTCTATAATTTTAATGGTAGGTTTATTTGAACAGTGAGAGACAGAATAACAACAAAAATATCCAGAAAAACGCATGTCAAAAATGTTATAAATTGATTTGCATTTTAATGAGGGAAATAAGTATTTGACCCCCTCTCAATCAGAAAGATTTCTGGCTCCCAGGTGTCTTTTATACAGGTAACAAGCTGAGATTAGGAGCACACTCTTAAAGGGAGTGCTCCTAATCTCAGCTTGTTACCTGTATAAAAGACACCTGTCCACAGAAGCAATCAATCAATCAGATTCCAAACTCTCCACCATGGCCAAGACCAAAGAGCTCTCCAAGGATGTCAGGGACAAGATTGTAGACCCACACAAGGCTGGAATGGGCTACAAGACCATTGCCAAGCAGCTTGGTGAGAAGGTGACAACAGTTGGTGCGATTATTCGCAAATGGAAGAAACACAAAAGAATTGTAAATCTCCCTCGGCCTGGGGCTCCATGCAAGATCTCACCTCGCGGAGTTGCAATGATCATGAGAATGGTGAGGAATCAGCCCAGAACTACACGGGAGGATCTTGTCAATGATCTCAAGGCAGCTGGGACCATAGTCACCAATAAAACAATTGGCAACACACTACGCCGTGAAGGACTGAAATCCTGCAGCGCCCGCAAGGTCCCCTTGCTCAAGAAAGCACATATACATGCCCGTCTGAAGTTTGCCAATGAACATCTGAATGATTCAGAGGACTACTGGGTGAAAGTGTTGTGGTCAGATGAGACCAAAATGTAGCTCTTTGGCATCAACTCAACTCGCCATGTTTGGAGGAGGAGGAATGCTGCCTATGACCCCAAGAACACCATCCCCACCGTCAAACATGGAGGTGGAAACATTATGCTTTGGGGATGTTTTTTTGCTAAGGGGACAGGATAACTTCACCGCATCAAAGGGACGATGGACGGGGCCATGTACCGTCAAATCTTGGGTGAGAACCTCCTTCCCTCAGCCAGGGCATTGAAAATGGGTCGTGGATGGGTATTCCAGCATGACAATGACCCAAAACACACGGCCAAGGCAACAAAGGAGTGGCTCAAGAAGAAGCACATTAAGGTACTGGAGTGGCCTAGCCAGTCTCCAGACCTTAATCCCATAGAAAATCTGTGGAGGGAGCTGAAGGTTCGAGTTGCCAAACGTCAGCCTCAAAACCTTAATGACTTGGAGAAGATCTGCAAAGAGGAGTGGGACAAAATCCCTCCTGAGATGTGTGCAAACCTGGTGGCCAACTACAAGAAACGTCTGACCTCTGTGATTGCCAACAAGGGTTTTGCCACCAAGTACTAAGTCATGTTTTGCAGAGGGGTCAAGTACTTATTTCCCTCATTAAAATGCAAATCAATTTATAACATTTTTGAAATGCGTTTTTCTGGATTTTTTTGTTGTTATTCTGTCTCTCACTGTTCAAATAAACCTACCATTAAAATTATAGACTGATCATTTCTTTGTTAGTGGGCAAATGTACAAAATCAGCAGGGGATCAAATACTTTTTTCCCTCACTGTATTCTCCACAATGACGCTAAAGCTTATTCTATATTACCCACGGTATTGTACAGTTTTGCATCGAACCAGGACTCATATCTAACAGGGAGGTTCCTTGCCTGAAAACACATGGCATTTCCCTGGCATTGGTTCAAGAAAATCTGACGACTGCCAATGAGACGCTGAATGTTGAATGCGGTCAGTGTTTTGCTTGTAATGTACTGAAGTTGCTGGAATTATGCACTCCCAGAAGCCTGGTATTCCTGATGGGATGTGTAAACTTTTTTATTTGGAAGGACATAGACGGGAAGGAGCCGCGTTGCCCTCTTGTTTACGCTGTCTCTGTGCTTGGTTGCTGCTGTGGCTACTGCGGTGGTGGTGGTTGCGGTGGTGGTTGCGGTTGTGGTGACTGCGGTGGTGGTTGCGATGGTGGTTGTGGTGGTGTTGGTTGCGGTGGTGGTCGTTGTGGTGGTGGTGGTAGAGGTGGAGGTGGACACGGCCGCGAGTCGCCCCGCCGTGCAGAGCGTGGACGAGTTCGCCCCCGAGGGAACGCTCGACCGCAGCTTCCTGGAGGACGTCCTGGACAGGGGTCCCGCTCGGCCTCCAGTCCGCGCCGCCGAGGACAGCGACAGGTACGAGACCCCAAACTCCTGGACCCCCGAGACCCCGGGCCCCGAGACCCCGGACCCCCGAGACCCCGGGCCCCGGGATTACATGTGAGCCACCTCCCATGGCGTAGCGGGATGAGAACCGCATCAATTATGGACTAAATGTCCGGTTGTGGCTAATGAATAACGAGCTTGTGTTTTGCCACAATCATCTGAATCCATCAGGCAGACAACCCTAAGAACCTAATTTTTTTTTTCAATTGGTCATGAAGCATAGCCGTGTCTTTCTGTTTGCTTGTTGTGCAGTGCCTACGATTGTCTCCGCACTTTTGTTCTACGCCGCGAGCCCTGCTTTGCTATGTGCCGCAAGCGTGACGATGCGCCGTGGTGTGCCGTGTGGTGCCGTTCAATGCCGTGTGGTGCCATGTGTGTCCGTGTGTGCTGCCCTGCGGACGCAGTAATGGCGAGGGAGGAAACCCCATGGTCGCCTCCTTCCAGGACGAGTTGGACCCCGAGGACGAGGCCCCCGTGAGCCGCGTGGCAGTCTCCCTGAAGCCTCCCCGCGCCCCCGAGCCGCTCTCCAGCGACGAGGATGGCGCCCCTCCTGCCGCCGTCACCGTCATGGCCGACTGGGACATCTCATCAGAGGAGGAAACACGGTCGGGTCGTCCGCAGATTACTGATAACGTTTCTTTCTGAAGTGCCACAGTATGACGACTTCCATGCACGAGACGTCCACGTCACAGAATAATCGCCATGCTTCATATAGTCGGTGCCGAACATCTGCCAGTTCGCCAGCATCAGTTTGAGCAAGCTTGACTACTGACACAAAATGCTGAAACTGGTATATAGTTCGCTTGTGGTGAATAAATGCTGCTGAAATTACGCATTCCCAGAAGGCTGTGCAGCCGATGGGATGTGTAACTTTTATTTTTTATGCGGAGGGGCAGATATGCGTAAGAGGCATAAGTGTCCTATTTTCTGTATATCGGCGAGCGTGTGCGGTGTACGTGCACACAAGGGGGAGCTACTCGGTTGTAATCAGGGTGGCCACCAACTGCTGCTCTCTCTCCCTTTTGCGTGGTCCAAGTAAAAATTGCAAGTTGTGTATTCTGTCCCCCTGATCTGCATGGGTTTCCTTCGGGTTCTCTGGTTTCTTCCAATAGCTAAAAAAAAGCCATACACCGTAACCGGTATTGGCAAAAAATATTCCAATGTGTGATCTCCACTGCAAATGACTCAGTGGGGATCACACACACAGCAGCAACATCGCCCCCTACTGTGAAACATGGCAGGACCCTCCCGATAGAGACGAGACTTAGTGAGGTTGGTGTTAGCTGTGGCTGGGAATCTAACTGGAGTTGCCAGATTCGTTGTGCAGTGTGCCCAACCAGCCTCTCCACCCCACTGTTCTCATGCCGCGCTGTGGTCTAAATTCTAATCGGAGGGCACTTCAGGGCTACCTAAGGTGAGAAGATACATACAATATACAGATGGAAGAGCCTCGGGTATCTGCAACAACCACCTGAAGGAGCTTCCCGAGCGCAATTCGTCCGCAGAGTCGGGAACGTCTGACCGTGTCAGTTATCTGCACAGGCATTTAGCCGTCTGCGAGGAGCCGCGACATAAACTCTAAATGGCCTGTAGGGGGCTCCCGACTCCCTCCCCAGTGGTGCTGTGGGGCCACTGGGACGGTTGAGGGGATTGTGGGGGAGTGGGGGGCGGCAAGAGAAAGGCCTCGGTAATTTCGGTATTGGAGCACGGGACAAAACGGAAGAATCATTCCGGAGAGATAAATTTTGAAGCCATAATTGGTGTTTGACGTAGAGGCTTTGTGTGATACGTGACTTGGGTTGTGTTGTCTGACTACAGGCCTGCCAAGCCTCCGCACAAGGCGCACGGCAAGGGCCACGGTGCCAAGGCAGGCGGCAACGCGCCACCCTCGGCTGCCGCCACCACCCTGGACGCGGCGGCAGAGAGGGGGCACGCCGCCGGCAGCCCGACCATGGGAGGGCTGCCTTCCTCGGAAAAGGCCTCGGGCAAGACCGGGGGCCCGGTGTGGGTGGACAAGGCCGCCGGGGAGGAGGGCGAAGAGGAGAGCGAGACGGAAGGGCCCATTGCTCAGCAGATGCTCTCCTTTGTCCTGGATGATCCCGACTTTGAGTCAGACGAGCCGGAGAAGAGCAAGGTGAGCGTCGCACTGTGGGTGGCCTCCTCGCCACACCTCGGACTGCGTAGCCTTTGACAGGTGCCCATGGGATACATAGGGGAGAGATGCCCCACGGTGCCGTTATTGACGTTTCGCATCGGCACCTGAATGAGGGTCCAGCATCGCCGCCTCGTGTGAGAGTGGTGATGTATGACGGCGGTTGCGAGACTTGAGGGCAGGGTATGCGAGTCACGCAAAGATGGAGTCACTTTGGAATTATGGGATTCGAATACCATTCCCGCAAGAATGGCAGAGCACTCATCACCGGTAACCAGGCTGCGATGGACTCGCTGTACTTGAAGCCCGGGTTGAACCCAGCTTTGCTGCATCGCAGGTCCAAGCTGATGACTGCTACAAAGAGTATTTGGCTGCCGATATAAATTTTGCACTTGGTAAGCCACTTCGTTGAGCTACCATTTGTGTCCAGCTCGCTTCTGAAAAAGTTCCATATAGCTCATTGGGGCCTTACCTGGTAAAATAAAATAGTTTAGTTTTAGACTCCCGCGGTTCCGGCTCGGTTCTCCAGCATGGATGTTCCGAGCCTCTTGGGCCACACGGCTGCTTCCTCATGTGGATTCGTAACCGGGAGAACTCCAGTTATCTGAGACACCCACCTCTACATGGCAACATGGTGGTGCCTTTAGGGGACTGCAGCATGTAGCCTCTGACCTATCGGGTGAACTGTAGGATGCATCCCTCCCTACTCGTATGTTTCCCTTAGGTTTGGAATACATTTAAAATGTAAACAGAAAAGGTCAAAACATCTCAAGCGGAGCCCTCGTGAGAGTGGATTGGAGACTGCTTAGCCGTCTCGGATAACTCAAGATCTCCCGGATTACGAATCCATGTGAGGAAGCAGCCGAGTGGCCCAGAAGGCTCGGAATATCTGTAGATGATTCCTGCAGGAATTGTGATTTTTGTGTGGGCCCATTCCCTGTAAATATCTTCGTTCGAATGCATTGTCTTCCAACAAAGATTGTGGCATTGAGGACAGGCATCACCGCTAAAATAAATGTGGATTTATTTATGATCCAGCACTCAAATACAGGGTGTTCTAAAGAGATGGACCCGATTTTAAATCGCTATATCTCTGCAACCACGAACCGCCCATGAATGAAACTCTTACCACTTGGAATGGCGGGGCATAGAGTTTCAAATGATCACCGCTCGATGCCTCTCCCAGCGCACAAACAGCCCCTAGCCTCGGTCATTCACAAGATGGTAACCCCGCAACACAAGGGGCGTTTTGCGTTCTGCAGTTCAGCAAGACTGAATCCGTAATTGCGGTGCAGCGTGCGTTTCAACGGCGTTTTGGCATTGATCCGCCAATGTCAAAGAGCATTCGTCGTTGGTACCGACAATTTGAGGAAGCAGGCTGCTGATGTAAGGGGAAGAGCACAGGGCGACCACGCACCTCAGAGGAAAACGTGAGAAGAGAGGCGTTTGGGACGAATTCAACTGTCGTCTCGATGTTGTCCGTACAGCAGGTGGAGGGCACATAGAGCATTTATAAAATGGTTAGTAAAACTTAATAACTCAATAAACCATTTGTAACTTTTTGTGTAATTGTAACATGTTGCCATTGTGAAATATACTGCTTTGAAATTGGGTCCATTTTTTTCAAACACCCTCTGTTTTACTCCAGTCACTTGCTCACTGGTGGTCGGTCACCTCCCCATCACTCTTCTATCACTACTACCATCGTTGCTGTTCCTGTGAACGTCACTCATTGATTCCTCCACCCATGTTGAGGACTTGGTCTGCCAGATGACATTCGTCTACATCCACACTGTTCAACCACCCACAACAATTCACTCGCTCACTAACTCATCCACTTACCCACTCACCCAACCACTCGCCCAACCACCCAAACACTGCTTCTTCCCTCCTCCCATCTCTTTTCCCAAGCGATCGCAATAACCTTGCTCAATTCAATTAACATCTCTCATCAGTCACAACTTCGATGATAGTCACTGTTTGTTGCTGGCCATGTGACGTTTTGGGTCTTTGGACCTGTGCTCCGCAACTGTGTTGAAAATCAAATTGTCCAATGGAATTCCTATAAACTTCAGTGGCAATTCCAGTATCTCCATTGAAATTGATCGGGAGTCTGTGGGCAATTCCAACAACTGCCTCCAGATGTCAGGCTTAGAGGGATTCCTGATTCCGTACACTCTAATGATTCTACGATTGCAACAATCTCACGATTCACATGAGAAATCTCATTCGATTCCCGACGTGGGCTCGCGATTGCAAGCTCGGGTTTCCCCGCTCATCGCCCCCACACGGTCGCGTTCACTCCTCTGCCCAGGAGCTCTTCCCAGTCCGGGAGGACGTGTCGGACCTCTCCGATGATGATGCGGCGGCTCCTACCGCTGTCGCCGCTGCCGCCGCTTCTGCGGTGCCGCGTCGTGCTGCGGGGAGTCTGCCTGCTGCGCCTCCCGTCGGGAAGCTCTCCCTGGATTTCGTTCCGCCGGCCCCGTTTACTCTGCTGAGCGATGACGGTAAACCGCCATTTGACTTTGTAGGAACCAACGCAGATCCACGCAGAGCATAACGCCGGTTTTACACCCAGGATGCTTTCCTGAAAACCAGAACGTAAATCGAAAATACTTAAATCAAAGCATTTTTGGTGAATCGTAACATGGTTACAGTACCAACTACAAGTACTACTACTAGTAGGTACTACTACTAGAGATGGCATGGTAGATCGTAATGTGGTACAGAACTTTCTAGTACTACTAGTAGTAGGTACTCTACTAGAGATGGGTTGGTGGATCGTAACGTGGTACAGTACCTAAACAAATGATACCCAGTAACCCATTGTGAATAAATTATGTAAAACCATCGGTGTGGAACGTAAGTGTATATTATTGATTTAAGATATATTATCTTGTCTATTATACGATTCCTATTATTAGTTGTTTATCATATGAAAAAAAGTTTACACTTGTATAAAAAATATTCACAAAAAATACGGTACGTGGGGAATAAAAATATCTATAGTGTACACGTGAAAGGGACTATAGCCAGTCAGGGACGCTAATGCTTGGGTGCCATCTTGACGCCTCAATGTGTAGCCAAGGTACATACAAATGTGGGGGCGCAGTTGGCTACGTACGGTCCGAAATAACATCAACATACGTATAAGTACGTAAATCTCGAGCACGCTATGGCGAGGTACACGGTACTTTAAACGGGATTGGGTATCAATAAGTTGAGTACGCTTTTGCGAAAGTACGTAAAGCAGGAGGGTGTATATCTGGGTGTTACTGTGTTCAAATTGTCCTCTCAGAAGCATGTGTTGAGATGAAGCAATTTCCATGAGGAACCCTCACAGAAAGAAGTGCATCACCCTGTGTTAGAGAATGGCCTTTTTCAAGATGATATCACAGAAATACCTTGCTGACCTCTTCATTCACCTCTCGGCCATACCCAGGGTGGGTGGGGTGGCACAGCGGTAGCGTGCGAGGTTCACCGTTCAAATCCGGCAGGCCGCCTTGGTTAATACATCTCATTTGCAAGGGTGTCCAGGGTATTGATTTACACATACATAGCAAACACGTGACGACACATGTCCCAACTTTTAAAATCTGTAATTGAAACGGTTTGCATCAATAAAATGAACATCGCAGCCAGTCAAACACGTGATTAAATACAGAAGTAATTCAATGGCGCACACCGCTGGATCATATAGAAAGCACTGTAGCTGGAACGGTTGCAGATGCAGTGGAAGTGGATTTTAATTAGACATTTAAATAAGGTGAGATTGGCGGCATCATATCCGGATGTGTTCGGGAAATCGTTCTATCTGAAGCCGCTCTGTGTCTGAGCCTGCTTGGGTTTATTCTTTGGGGACAGTTCCAATTTTTATGAGATTATTCGGACCGATTTATCGGTGACTGGGCTTAATTGTTTACTGGACTGAAAACATCAATCTGAACTATTATTACAAACTAAACAACTCTGTTATTTTACCAGGTAAGGCCCACTGAGCTCTCTAGCTCTTTTTCAGAAGCGACCTGACTACAAATGATAGCTCAACTAAGTGGCTTATCATGTGGAAATTTATAGCACCCAAATACTCTAAATGCATGTTTCTAAATATGGAGGAACTAACCGGAGGACTCGGGAGAAAAATCCACGCGACCACGGGGAGAACATGCAAACTCCAAATATAGAGCAGGCGTCAGGATCTGGGATTGAAGCCACTACCTCCTGCATACCAGGCAAGGAGGTAGTTAATATCTCGTCACCGCAGCGCCCCAATCACTTGACTTGAGAGGTTAACTCGGAGTGAATGCCCCATTTCAAACCCGCAGAGCCAACAGTGCCGGCTCAGTGCCGAGACAGCCCTCTGCACCACGCAGCCACTGCCTCCGTCCACTGCCCAAAGGCCCAGGGAGACCGTTCTGTCGGTCTCTTCAGTCTGTCAGTCTGGCGGTCTGCCGCCCAAAGGTGGAATGTTAAAGAGGGTTCCTTCTCAGAAATGTATCTAAATACTGAACGAATTTGCTCACCATGGTGAACGTGTTTGCAGCAACATTTCCAGACGTGTAAACAGCTGTAAAATCACAATGAGCCTTTAAAATGTACTCCTGCTTTGTGCTGTGACCCGGACATCGTTTTCTCACAGTTAACCCTGCTTTGTGCCGTGACCCGGACATCGTTTTCTCACAGTTAACCCTGCCTTGTGCTGTGACCCCATCACGGCTTCTCACAGTTAACCCTGCCTTGTGCTGTGACCTTGTCATGGCTTCTCACAGATAACCCTGCCTTGTGCTGTGACCCACAGATAAACCTGGCAGTGATTTGTCCAAAGAGAAAAAGAAGAAGAAAAAGAAAGAAAAGGAGAAGGTGAGTGGACGATGACAACTCCCACGTCCAGTCAACAATTCCAACGACTGCCGCATAGCAAACAATAAATGCGCAGACCATCGCCTTCCCACATCTGCATCTCCACGTCCAACAGTCGCACAGCCCATCGGCCGCACGGCCTTCTGGCAGTGACTTTTTTTCTCTCGACACCATTAGTTTAATACAACCTGCATCTGGATGACCACTTTCGGCATTCAGTGTCTCACCGGCAGCCAGGCTTGCTTGAACCAATGCTGGTGAACTGCCAAGTGTTTTATAGGTAAGGACCTGCCCTGCGAGATGTGGTCCTCGTACGACGTAGAGCTTAACAACGCACAACACAATGACCCCCCCGTGTCATCGTGGAGTGTATATGTAACGTAATTTTGTGCAATGTATATCAGAATATTTGTGATTCACATTTCACAACGTACGGTCGATATTCAGTTGGAACACAACCGGGTAGCTATATTTTTTTATTGCATTGCGACAATATTTAATGAAAGTATACAAAGTAATTTTACGCTGTTGCAGAAGACAAAATGTGTATCATTAAGTGCCCTCCATCACCTGACACAGCCAAACAAATTAATTTGTCGCAAGTTGTCCAACGCACTCAAATTGTTGATTGTTTCAGATCACGAGTAAACAGAAGGACAATTCTCGCAAATAAATCGAACGGTTAGATGGGATGTCTCACTTGAAACCACGTCATGTGTCATCAGGACAAGGTCCAGAAAGTGGAAGCAGGGTCTTCTTATAGCCACAGGTTTGGTTAGATCAGCTTGCAGCCCTGCAGATTGGACGTATAGCTGACCACACACAAGCTAAATTAAGACTAAACTATTTTTTATTTATCAAGTAAGGCCCACTGAGCTACATAGCTCTTTTTCAGAAGCGACCTGGCCACAAATGATAGCTCAACTTTGCGGCTTATAATATGGAAATTTATAGCAGTTAAATACTCTAAACGCATGTTTCTAAATGTGGAGGGAAAACCGGGAGGACCCTGAGAAAAATGCACACGACCACGGGGAGAGCATGCAAAATCCAAATATATAGGCGTCAGGGTCGGGCTTGAATCCATGATCTCCTGTATACCAGGCGGGGGAATTGACATCTCGCCACCACGGCGCCCTAATGATCTCTGCATGATCCTTAACCCTGCCTCCAAAGCGATTCCTGTTTTGGTTATGTTGGGATTTGCATTGGCGTTTATAGCATTTGTAATGAAGCCTCTCACCACCATGAAAAATTGTGAATTAGATTGCGATCAGAAGGTTCATTCTTGACTCATGAACCCAGTTAATAACCACCAGAAAACTGAATAAAACAATCACGCATTCAGCTGCTCAGTCAGGCATTCGCCCTGGAGTCTAAAGGAGTCACATAACCTCTGCATTAACCCGCGTAACCTCAGCCTTTTATATTTTTGGCCATTGCTGCTCCAGTAGTCTGCTGTGTTGTGCACCGAGATCTATGGGGCCCACACAGCCTATAGGATCAAGCAGATTGCCTCGCATACAACGCGCTCGTCCCAACGGGCACTGTGTCCCCCCCCCCGCCATGTGCGCCAGGAGGAGGAGCGGCCGGACAAGTCGAGGAGCAAACACAAGAAGCACAAGGAGAAGGAGCGTGACAAGGAGGAGGTTGGGGGAGGAGGAGGTGGCGATGAAAAGGAGAAGAGGAGGAAGAAAAAGAAGAAGGGTGCGGGTGCCAGTGGCGGTGGTGCTGGTGGTGGTGTCGGTGGGAGCGACCTGAACGCGCTCGAAGCTTTCCTGGGGGGCGACCCGGCCACGGGGGGCGACCCGGCCGCAGGTGGCGGGGACTACGAGGAACTGTAGGGACTGTGCCACGTGCGCCCCCCCCCCCCCGCCGCGCTCATCCGGAGGAACCACCCCGCGTGCCGTCCGGCCACGCTGGGCCACGCTGGGCGCCCCAATCACGGCAGCAGCACCACTGCCCCCTGTCGGACTTTCGTGATGGCGTTACGGGGGTGTGTTGAGGGGGGGTGGGGGCGGTGTGGGGGGGGGTGCCGTTGCAAAATGGCACGAGTTATCGGTCCCTCTGGAGCTGATCATATTCCTCGGCAAGGGCCTGGTTTTTAAATGCACCACGGCAGAATCAGAATCTCTATCCTGGAGAAATTCGATGGGCTATGAAGCTTCTTTTTTTCACAGACGTCCAGACAAAGCGTGACGCCGTCTGGAGCGCAGGTATCACGGACGCACGATTGCAGACGGGCGCAGGGCCGGCATGCAGCCACGCCGTGAACCCTTGGCCCTGGATCCCCACCACGGGACAACCCATTTGGGAACGTCTTGAGTGTTATTTTATTGATGATGAGCAGCATCTCCACGCTGCCGGTGCATCGCAACACTGGGAGTTTGCTGCTGCTGTCTGCACTCCCCATTGGTGTGTGTGCACATTGCACGGAACACAAATCATCACAGGTTCCATTGAAGAGCCAGGGTTTGGCCTGGGCCCCATGCGTTAGATGCTATGTCCACGATGTGTACCGTCTTATTTAGCAATAGCTAGTGGAAACGGAAACATTTTGTCTGACGCTTTAATGGCATTAGTTTGAAGTCTTCACTTCGTTCTGGAGATCCAAACTGAGATATCACATCAAGCTGGTAACAAGATAATCACTCGAAGGTGATTCTTACTACAATGTACAGAGTTATGTTTGAATAATGAGAGACGGCTGCTAGAGCTGGTTTTATTTTAAACGTTGGATTTGCTTGCATCTTGAGTTCCATTCCGTTTGTGTAAAAAAAAAATAGGCAATGCAATTTTTGTGTAATTAGTCCTGTAAAAATGTAACACAAAATAGCACAGAAATACACTGCACAGTCTGAAAATGTATAAACAAATGCCGACATGCATACATACTCATGAACGACAACTACCAGACTCCCTGGTAACAGTTCTCAAGGTGTGATTCTCAACTATATTTTAATGCAACTGGTAAAGTTATAGCACACACATACTTTGCATAATTATTTGTTTTGATAGAGTGCCCTCTGTTACATCGGGGCATCTTGAAGCGCTGTATACGCGAAAAGCAGCTTGTGTGTGCGTACGTACGTTGAACTTCTTTCGCACTATCGCAAGTAGCCAACCGTGCTGAAGAATAACAAACTAAACACATGAAAGCTCGCATCACATCTCATCTCAGATAATTAAAATGTGGCAGCTTGTCCCTGTGTGATACTAGATGCGAAAAAGTTGTTCAAGTTCAAGGTGGCTCGTCTTTTAAGTGAGCATCTGCCAGTGGGGGGGGGGGGTGCGATGATCGATGATTGCCACGTGTGTAGTCCCAACTGAGTAATTGTGGGGTAAAATGTTTCGAATTCAGCAGATTTAGGGCACCGCGTCAGTGGCGCACAACGGCCGGTCTCGTGACTGATGGCGTGGGATCTTTTAGGGTCCACTGGGAAGCAGACGGAGCGCAGTCTACGACCAACTCATCCGCGGTATTAACCAAGGTGGCCTGCCGGTCTCGAAACCACAAACCTCTTCAACGAGTGGCAAACGTCCTGTCGCTGAGCGGTGTAACTGGCTGTATACAGCATGAATAGATGCAGGCTGACGAAAGCTGCCTGGGGAGAATTATTGAACAGGATCCTTGAGCATTGAGCGCAATGTTCTCCAGTGGGACACTATCAATTGTAAATAAACGCTTATGATAATTAATTTTCACTGCTTCCCACGGGGTGAAAATGGGGCTCGGGTTTAGGGAGCTTCATGATCGTCTTGACTCAACTGCCTGCCCATAACGACAAGAGGGAGCTGCTACCTTGCAAAAGAATTCCCTTCCGTGCGGGAAGGTTAAACGGGCGTGCTGAGCGCAGAGTGAAGTCCAGTGGTGATTCTGGGTTCTTTGAGAAATGTTTACAGTGAAAGCAAGATATTTTTAATGGGCGTTGGTAACTCGCGAACGTGACGCCTTTCAAGGATCTCGCGAAATTAATTACAGTCTCACCGATTTGGCCACAAAAAATTCATCGGCCAACTCCTCTGGAGTGTCCCATCTGATTGCTGTGATAGTCTGTCGTCCTATCTTACTACAAGAGAATCTACCATCGATTACATGTTTTTTAAAGTGGCTACTCAAGTCATCATCATCCGCTCATTAGATTCACAGTGTTCAGACGCTGTTGCGGGTAGGCAGTGTTGAACTTTGATGTTGCTCCCAGCTGAGGCGTAATGAGGTTGAGACACTTTACACAAGCCGTGTGTTTTTTTGCCGGTGCAAGTTGCCTGCTTCCAGAGGAGGGGATCCACTCTCGTTTCCTCGCGGTCGAATTCCAAGAGTGTTTTGTTTGTACCAGGCGAGAGCCACGGTTGGCGAGGTGTTAACTACCTCGCCTGGTATAAAGGAAGTTGTGGATTCGATCCCGACCCTGACGCCTGCATATTTGGAGTTTGCATGTTCTCCCCGTGGTTGCGTGGATTTTTCTCCGGGTCCTCCAGTTTTTCCCTCCACATTTGGAATCAACATGCGTTTATAGAGTATTTGGCTGCTATACATTTACACGTGATAAGCCACTTCGTTGAGCTATCATTTGTGACAGGTCGCTTCTGAAAAAGAGCTACATTGCCCAGTGCGCCTTAACCTGGTAAAAAATAAAAAAAAATGTTTAGTTTCGTTTTAGCCCAAGAGACCAGGAGAGTTCTCGGTTACAAGCGTTCAGTCGAGACTTTATTATTTGGGCGTGCCTCTATCCAGGAAAGCCTCGCTGAGCCTCGTGTGGCTTTTTCCGGGAGGTCCTGGCGAGTTTTTCATAGGAAGCGATGATTGCTTCCGTATAATCCCGAATGGGTCATATTCTGTTAATGTTTTGATTTGCGTGCACGTGTGTGTTTGTGTGTGGTGTTTCGTTATCGTTTGCACTCACTTCGTAAGCCTAATTAACTTGCACATCACAAACATTGGGAAGGTTATTTTAACACATAGGCTTTCGCGGCCGATATTATCCATGATGAAGGTTTTTTGAGTTAGATAAAGTCAAATATCAATGCGGCTTACAAGTGAAGACATCACATTTACCCCTCTATTTAAGACCGAAACAGGAGGATTTCTACAATTCTGGCTGTCGCCTATTAATGCTGGTTGTAATTACCGGCGAAGCGTCGTACTCAAATTGTCAATGTTTGTGGGTTTACTCTCCAACACGCCAGTGTGCTGAAGTAGTAACTAATTGGCACGTTTTGTTTACGTGACAAACTTTACTAATTGGCTGTGCCGGGCAGTGGTGGGTGTAACGCCACATCTACCGTGATCTAACCCAAAAAAAACCTCCGTCGTGGATTGGGGAAGGTTCGCTGCCCTTATTTTTGAATCGTGCAGTCACTTTGCTTGCGTATGGGATGTCTACTGACAATGTACGTACGCATAGGAAACGGGGGGGGTGAAGACTCGATAATAATTCGTCTTTGTGGCATGCAAACACGGGCACTTTGCACATAACGGTGCGGGACCTACTTACTGTACTGTTTCGCACGGGCGGCACCTTGTTTCCCTGGTAGCCGGGTTCTCGTGCGCACGCTCGGTGGTTAGGTCTGCACCTCATCCACGATCCTTCCTCCGTGGCGCTGGATCGCAGACGACGACCACCACCGTCACCACGCCTGGCAATATTATAACTCGTAACCTCAACGGTCGCTCTACGTGCACGCTGTTGCTTGACGCACGCGGACGGGGCTTAAAGCAAACATAAGTGTCCGCAACCGCTTTCACGTCCTCAGTCTTTTATGATTTCTAACCAATGCCTTGTCGCAAGCAGGAATCGCGTCGCAAAACCAAACGGTTTGCCTTGTGCTTGCGTGCCGTTTTTATTGGCCGCTCGGATCATTGCAAGTTCACGGAAAGGAAAATGATGAAAGTGAATTTCTGTCGTTCAGAAGCGCCACACGAACTGACGTTGAGTGGTGCTTGCAGTCGCTGTTGGACGTGCTGCGTTGCGCTGCTGGGACTGCGGTGCGCGTTGTCCGCACAGCTCTGCGTTTCACTCGGCTTGTATGTATGTATGTTGAACTTCTTTCGCACCGTACATAGCCAATCGTGCTAATAGGAGGTGCAGGGGAAGAATGAGAAACTAAACATTAAAAGCATTTTTAAAGAAATTAGTTTTCAACATAGATGATATAAAAGTGCAAAGCTCCAATGGCTTCCTAACATGGGAAGGAAGAGCGTTCCAGACGGCCGCAGAAGCGCATCCGCGCGCGATGCGTCGACCGTCCTTGTTCGATGTCTCGCCAAAAGCCGCTGGTGCTGCGAGGATGAGCGGAGTTGGCGTGATGATGGTTTGAGGCTTGCCGCGCGCATCGTGTTCCTGTCCCGAGTCACGTTCCCCTTTTAGCCGTCGCGCTCCCCCCACCCCGATCGATCGCCCGTCGCGTCGCCTCAGGCCCCGAGGGATGAAGGGTCTCGGCTCCGGGTAGCCTCTGTTGCTCCGATGAGATTTTTAGTTTCCTCCGTGCGCGCGGTTGAACAAGCATTCGGGTGAACACTTGAGTTTGAGGAGACGGAGAAATAAGCTCCAAGGAAATAACACACACGGATTTGGCCGACAAGCATCTTAAGATGACGTAGACGTACTGATATGATGTGGATGGATTATAGGGTTGGGGTCACCAGTAACATTAAACGCGATGTACGTTACGATGTGGAAACCACACAAACCGAGTGTAAATATTGATACAAACAATTACGCTGCTGGTTTCCACATGCAAGCGTTTCAATATTCCCACGTTACAGCGGTAATGGGCAATAGCGCGACCTTTAGCAGAGGTTAATATTTACCAGCGTTTCCATTTCACGTGCGTTTTAATTATCTGTGTGGCAGAACAAGGGAGACGATGTATATTTAAATGTAACGTTATCTGTGGAAACATGAGTGTCTTGAAAACATGAAGTCATCGGGGGTTATCTTCATTGTGTCGAAAGCAAAAGCATTAACCCACCATTAGGAGAAGCTAATAACATTGGACAGGGCCGTCTGCTCGGCAATGAGCAGCGACTGATTGTGCGCAACTAATGTTGAGAATGGGAGCTAAGGGATGGGACGATGCAATGAGAGAGCGAGTGATGAAAGGGGAGGGTGCTCCCAAACAGGGTACATCGCAACTGCAAGAGTCACCGGCGGTCACAGGCTCGGGGTTTCAGGCGCGCCGTGTTCTGCACTTGTATGTACGCACGTATGTATGTTGAACTTCTGTCACACCGTAAGTAGCCAACCGTGCTAATCGGAGGTGCGGGGGAAGGACGACAATAGTGTTTTTTTGGGGTTTGATCGCTTTAATGTAAATGTGTTGTTAAACCTTCCACCAACCGACACAGCCAAATTAGTAAGGGTTGGCACGTAAGTGAAACATGCCAATCTTGATTTGAAGCTTTCGTGACTGCAGGAATCCATACTCTTTGGTTCTTTCGGTAAAGTCACGTAGATATAAAATAAAATAAATCACGACGTTTCGATTGCAACACAAGTAATCATCATCAGGTGGGAAAACCACTTCAGCAAAAAAAATTGTTGCTGTGGTTTTTACACCTGATGATGATTGCGTGTGTTGCAATCGAAACGTATTTTTTTTCATACCTACGTGACTACCGAAAGAACCATAGAGTATGAAACATGCCAATTGGTTACTAGTTCAGAACACGGGCGTATTGGAGAGTAAACCCACAATATTTACAATTCGAGTACTGGTGGTGGCAGATTCAACGACGCATTTATATGTATGCAATCTAGCCTAAAAAAACCCCATCTGCTTTGGACGGTATTGGTTGCGAAAGCCTACTCCGTGTTAAGGAGGACAAAATAACTAAAACATAAAAAGGCAACTCTAAAAGACACGTGTCGCTCGCGGAGGCGTTGGACTGACTCGCTGGGGGCGTGGCCGCGTCTGCGTCGTCCTTTCGCGCTGACGAGATACGCGTTGCTTCCCCAGCAAGGGGCCCCTCACCCACAGCTCAGCATCGGACGGCGGGGGGTTCCGTTACCCCGGGCGAGCCACCGGGATCTTGGCAGCGGCCCGTCGCCAGCCGTAGCAGCGAACCACCGCCAGGCGCGCTGCTCAGACCATTTACGGGGGGTGAACGACGAATACAATATTGGAATTGCCTTTGACAGAGCAACAATTGAATATAAGACAAACTCCCAAAGAGCTACATCATGGGACCTCCTTTGCCAGTACCAAAATATGAAAATATTGTTTCCCCTTTTTAGGGCTTCCCATTTTTTCTGGCAATAAAACAGGTGTTAAGGTGTTAAACCACCAAACTGAAACCTTTTAGAAGGAATCATGTATGCATTAACCACAATACTTGTGGTCAGAATGCAAACAAAAAACATACTGATAATATATGCATTGTCTTTGAAACCGATTGGTCCACACCAGAGACAGCTTTCTTTTGAGCGTAGTCTCAAATGGTGTTAGACCAGAGGACGACAAACTTTTGGTGTTTCAGTTTGGTGTTTTAACATCTTGACACCTGTTCTGTTCACAGATTAAAAGGGAAAACCTATTCTCATCCCAAAGATCTTTTAAAGTGTGGCGACTTGACTCTTCGCGATGCTGACTGAGGGAGCGTTTGACGACGCACGCGGTTACCGGCGGCTGTAAATAATGCAACTGCTAAAGCCGTTTTTATTAAGGTCCCCATGCCCCTTTTGAGTCATTT